CGGGGGGGGGGGGGGACCCTTTTTTCCATGGCCAGCCCGCAAACCGGCATCGAACACACCGTGGCTGCTCCCGCCCCAGCCCCCTGCCCCAGCCCCAGCCCACAGCACAAGTCGTTCTGCCCACCTCTTAACACACCCAAACATATTATGAGCGCCGGAGACTGACTCGCGCCCTCTCCACGCCCTCTTCTCTGTCGTCGTAGCTGGGACGGGAGGCCTGGCCAACTGCTTTAGTCGAACTGCCGAGCCGCCGCCGCCGTTGTACTGCTCTACACCCTCCTCACCCCGCCGCAGCCCATCCTCAGCCACCCCCAGCCCGCCCGCAGTAGGGCATGCACTTGTGGCACATCCGTTGTGCGCGTGGTATGGCTCTCTCTGCTTATTCCGCCTGCTACCCATGATTGGACTCATCAAGCTATGGCGGCAACGGACCGGACAACGCCCGGCACTCGGCCACAAGCGCCAGCCTCCAGCCACCACCAGCGCCGCCAAGGTCAGATCGGTCGGTGGGGTCATCTCGACCCGACCGACTACTCGGACAGCATCATGCTGAAGAACGAGGTGGGGACAGGCACGGACGGGTTAGACATCGATCGGATGGTGATGCCCATCATGGTCGTCGTCGGTGCCTCCAGCACCTCCCAGCCATCTTCGAGCTAGACATGGCGATGGTCATGATGATGGTCGTGAGGACCGCGTCGCAGTCGCTGACCGGAGAGTGGCGTCCGTGTCCACACTCAACTCTATTCGAGCATGGTATGTTGGTTGATGATCATGATCATCATGGTGGTGATGGTGGCCCTGGTCGACAAGTGGTCGACCGAGGTGGGCGGGTGTTGGTCAATCCGATGTCGCGCCCGATCCGTCAATCGACGCCATTAGTCAACACTGCCGACTCCCTCAACTTGATCGATCCGAGGTGTGGTCATTAGGTCATCGATGATGTCCGCTGCTCTCACCCCCCCTTCCTCGCTCACCGCCATGGTCCACCTATGCAGATGAAGACAACCTCCGGCGAGCTCACCACCACCATCGCTAACACGACTGGCCAAGCCCGGGATTCGATGCCGCCGTCCACACTCACTTTTGCAGGCTTCAAGCGCCGCCGCGACGACGACGCCTCCAAGTTCGCGCCGCCCCCAAGCGCCAGGCAACACTTTCAACAGTCACCTCGGTCAGTCTAGCCTTCCTCATCCGCGATAAGTTCCTTCCCAGCAATGTGCGCCCCGGCGAGGGCGACAACCCTCTCTACGACACCATCCAGATCCCAGCCGCCGCCCCGCCGTCGTCTGATTTCGCAAACCACGACAACAGCGCTTGATGTTGGCCATGGCCGTGGCAACCGTATGAGCTCTGCTTCAACGACACGCATCAGTGAACGATAGCGTCCGACGATAATGAAAATGATGACAAGCAGCCTCTCCCGGCAATTCAGCCCATGTAACCACACGCCTCCCCACCCCGCCCCATTGCCAGTGTGCTCATTGTCAATGACATCGCTGACGTCGATCTATCCCGCCATGCTCCAGCAGGTGTTGGAGTGGACGGGGCAGAACGGGCGAGTAGACGGAATTGATCGTCAGCCTCTGGCATCGAAACACTAACACTTACACCAGGCTACGCGAAGCGAAGCCATACTTCGCTAAGAGCTCCGATGATGTCGCCGTAGTATACTCCAGAGGAGTCAGAACCCAACCACACACCCTTTGATGATGATGCCGAAGACGAAGACGACGACGACGACGACGACGACGACGACGACGACGGGCGGCCCTCTGGGCGCCCAATTCTGACTTTTTTGATCTCGTGTGCACGCGAGCAAGTGGCTGCAAGCCATGTACACGCGAGTCACCGTGCTTATCGGCACGATATGCTGGCGATGATGGCCAACCCTCAAGCCGTCGAGCCAGCAAAGCGGCCGCTCGGCCGGCAACCGAGCGTTTCCACAAACGAAGATTTGGGTGACCTGTCACAGGCGAACGGTGGGAGGGAAGGGGGGGGGAGGGGAGGGAGGAAGCCACACAACTCCAGATTGTGGTTGCAGTGCTACAGCAAGTGCAGGATATGGCAGCATCCAACTCGAACTCTGTCTCGCTCTCGTACGTGTGGAGCATGGGCGAGGAGGAGGCGGGGTGGGGGGATGTGGGGTGGGCCCAAAGCGTTCCGTCACGCCGACCCGCAACGCTTGCCAGCGAGGCAGGCGGAAGAGGAGGAGGAAGGGCTGAGGAGGGAGACTCATTGGGAGACGGGCTTGGGCATGGATGGCGGCGGTAAATAGGTCGTCGTCGTGCGATGCGCCGGTTGTGCACAAGAAGGAGAACCGGTCGAACATGCGGATCATTGCGTCGACGATCAAGGAGCTCGCCGGCGACGTGGGCTCATGGGGCATCGGCGACCTCACACTCGGGCTGCACTACCTGAAGAAGGCGAAAAAGCGGGAGGCGGCAACGCGCGAGCTGGATCTGTCGCGCAAGCACGATCCGGATGAGTGGCTGGAGGAGATGCGCGAGTGGCTCGACATCATCGAGGGAACATACAAGGGCTCGACCGAGGCCATGTGCGAGCTGACCGGCATTCCGGCCGAGGACGTTCTGAAGACCGACTGGAAGTCGACGACGCTCAAGCCGGGCTACTACGTGGCGCTGCTGCGGAAGAAGAAACAGGTGGTCTTTGCCATCCGCGGGACAGCCAACATGAAGGACGCGCTGACGGACCTGACTGCAGCGCAGAATGATTGGCCGCTGGCCGACGGCGAGCGGGTCCACCGTGGCATGCACATCTCGACCATGTGGTTCATGGAGAACGTGAAGCCGCTGTTGGAGGAGGCGCTGGAGGCGAACCCGGGCTACGAGCTCACGGTGGTTGGCCACTCGCTCGGCGGGGCGACTGCGGCGCTCTCGACGCTCCTGCTCCGCGAGGCCGGCCTCCCGGCCAAGGGCATTGTCATTGCGCCCGCAGCGTGCCTCTCGCTCGGCGCGGCGACGGCAGCGGCCGACCACGTCACCACCTTTGTGCTGGCTGACGACTGCGTGCCGCGGTTCTCGCTCTCGGCGGTGGAGGAGCTCCGGCTTGAGATTTCCAACTACCCGTGGGGCGACGAAGCCATGGACTCGATCCGGCAGACCCGGCTTGTTCGTGCCTGCGCCGACAATCCGGTGGGGCAGGCCATCGGGTCGGGCATGTCATCGGCGTACCGCGGAGCGTCGCAGGGCGCCCGCGCCGTTAGCCGCGGCTTTTCCAAGATGGGCTCCAAGATGTCGTCAATGTGGAATAAGTCGACTGGCAACGACAGTTCGGACGACGGCAGTGACAACGGTGAGAATGCCAAGCTCAAGGTCTCTGACCTCTCGGACGAGGAGAAGGAGAAGATCGTCCCGCTCTACCCGCCGGGCAACGTGTTCAAGGTCGAGCGCGACCGCGACGGCTCGTACCATCTTGTGGAGTCTGACAACGAGCTCTACGGCAAGCTCGAGCTTTCGGACTTTATGTTCTCTGACCACTCGTCGACAAACTACATCGACTCACTCGACCGCATTCTGGGCCGTAAGCCAATGATCGACACCAAGTCGGACGCCGGCGGCGATGACTCATCGTCGGACGACTAAGCGTAGCAACTAGCTAACCAAGCTGTGTTGGGCGGAGTTAAACAAGTAGCCCAGCCACCACGCAGTAGACTCGTCAAAAATCCTAGCTTTAAATCAGCCAAGCACAGGTGTGGCCCGACCACTCTCTGTCCACGCCAGAGTTGAAAGACGCATCGAAGCGAGACGGGCACACCGGGTCGGGAGCGACGAAAGGGTCGCCTCGGTGCCAGACTTAGAGCGACGGGGTGGTCGAGGCAGCATGGCCCATCCAGACGTCAGCCTCGAAGCCGCACTCGTTGTCGCCACGCTTGATGAGGAAGAAGCCATCCATGCCCCACGAGTCACCCCACGAGTTGGCGACCTTCCAGTAGGGGACGCCGTTGAGCTCGCCAAAGCCGACGATCTTGACAGCATGGCCGCCGAGCTCGTTGCCGGTCTTGTGGACGTAGACGCCCGACTTGTACTGCATAAAGTCAGCGTAGACGGTGAAGGCGGCCTGGGCAACGCCGTAGGTCATCAGCTGCTCGGCAATCTTGTCGGCGCGGCCAAAGAGCGAGGTAATGTGCTTGGCACCAGTAGCGTGGTAGCGCTTGATGGGCGAGCCATCGGCGCACTGCGACGGGCACTGGCCGGTGGTGCCGTTGCCGGAGGTGTACGGGAGGCACTCCCAGGTGGCAACACCCGACCGCTCCATGTAAGTCCAGGCAGCGCCGAGCATGCCGCCGTTGCAGCCCATGTTGGTGCGGTCGCACGAGACGAGGTCCTGGGCGGACAGCTCCATCTGGACCTTGCCCTTGGAGAGGAAGCAGAGCTCATCAGCGAGGACCTCGGTGGCCGAGAACGCCCAGCACGAGCCGCAGCGCTCCTGGTTCTCGATGCCGTTCGGCGAAAGGAGAGTGCCGCACTCGGGGTGAGCCTTGGCAGCCTCGAACGAAGACGGGAGCGACGCAGCGACGCGGTCAGCCTCCTCCTGCATAGTCTTGGCGGCATCGGGGCCGACCAGGCCGATCGGCTGCTCCTTGGTCACCTGGACGTTGAGGAGCGCCTTCATCTGCTCGACGGACATGCCCTCGAACGCCTTGTTCACACCAGCCGTCCATGTCGACGACTCATCATTGTTCACCGCAGCGATGATGTCCTGGTGGAGGGGGGGGGGGGGAGGGGGGCGGAAAAGGACGGGGAAACGTCCCCGACAGTGAACGTCATGCAAACGCGCCAAAAGAAGGGCGACCCAAAACGATCCCGAGGTAGGGGAGGGGGAGGGGGGGAGGGGGGGATGCAGGCAAGGGAAAGAAGGCATGGCACGGTAGCCAGAGAACCTGCATGTGACTTACATGGTTGACGATGGGGGCAGCAATAGCAACTGCCACAAGCGCAGCAAAGATAGCAAGGGTAACCTTCATGTTGATAATCAAGTTACGTGTGGCCACAAGTCACGTGACCCAGCCGCGACCACAGCCCCACGACTCCGATCCCGACCCCGGTCTCGGTCCAGGTCCCGGCGGTATGGCGGGTCGGGATTTTGTGGAGATACACACACAGAAGAGTGCAAAGGCGACAGCGAAACAGTCTGACGATCCAGATGGTGCTTACTCTATAACAACCCAACCCAAAACAAACGTAATACGGCTTACGTCCAGCTAGCGGGCTTGTGATGGAAGCAGCGACGACGAGTAGAACCGAAGCTGGTGCAACCGGCCTCGGCGGGTAGGGCTGTCCTCGGCACCGGACACGCGCTCGGGATGCGGCGAGCGCGAGGCGCGGCTGCGGGAGCGAGATGCCTCATGCGAGACGGGCACGTCAACAGAGATCACGCCCAGTCGCTCCAAGTGGGCAGCGTAGTCACCAGCCTCCTCGGTGATAGCAGAAGAGGCCTCGTACGGCGAGTAGTTCCCGCTTCCCACAGAGGTGCAGGACATGCCCGAGTCCGCGTCGGAATCGGGCTCGCACCTGGGTTCACGATGTGGCTCGGACGTAGCAGAGTTGTCGTCGCTATCCCAAGTCGGCCTTGGGCCGATCCGCGGGGTCGAGCCGACCGACTCAGCCTCGACGCTCAGCGCCATGAGATCGAGCATGTCGGACGGCGTTCGTCCGAGCCGAGCCACGCCCCGGGCTATAACTGCGGCGCCCGGCGGAGTGGCTGGAGTAACCGGCAAGTCTGGTGAGCCCGGCGTAGCTGGCGACCGCGTTCGCCGATCGTCGTCCATCGTCCGCCTTCGGCGTCGCCGCCGTCGATGCTCCCGCCGCTGTCGCCGCCGGCGCCGTCGCCCACGACCATCGTCAGCCTCCTCCTTGGCAGAATTTCCGTGGCTACGCCCACCAGTATCAGCATCAACGTCGCCTCTGCCCGAACGGAGGGGGATGGGCCGGAAGACGGCATCGTCTACAAGAGCCAGCGAGGTGGCAGCGAGGGCCGTGCCCATGAAAACGCCCAGAGCCACGGTGGAGGCCGCCGAGTCCGACCCGCTCTCAGCCATGGCTGCTGCAACCTGCAACCTGCCCGTCTCTCACCGGCCTCACTGTATCCACGGGACACAGAGGGCGGAGACGGGTGCTGTACAATCTCGAACTTCAGGTGCACAGAACGGCGGTGGTGACCGAGCTAGCTAACAACACCACACGCCACACGCCACCGCCACCGCCACCACCACCGCCACCGCCACCGCCACCACCACCACAACTACAACTACCCCTCACCTGACTTCACGTCCCACCTAACACCCCTCCACAACCACAGCCACCCGCCCCGCCACCCCTCCGCACACTCCCACATCAATGGCCTTCACCTCGCGGGCCAAACGCTCGTTCGGCTTTGGCGCACCCACTCCTGCCGCTGTAGGGTACGCCCTCCCTCTGCTCCACCCTCTCGCTCCTCCCCTCACACCCCTGCATAGTCTCACACACTCTCTCTCCCTCCTTCTCTCCTTCCCTTAGTCCGGGCGCATACAACGTGCCGTCGGGCATTCGCGTGGGGCGGCGGTCGGCGGCTCCGTTTGGGACGTCGAGCATGCGAGCGGTGCATCTGCCGCCGGCCGGCTCACCTGGGCCGGGCTCGTACGATGTGGCGCAAGCCGCTGGTCTCACCATCCAGACCCGGCCGGCACATCATGCAGCGCGCGGGCGGGTTGTCCCGTTCGGATCGCGCGCCTCGCGGTTTCCGCGGTCGCACGCCAGGGCTGCGCGTCCCGGCGCCCCCGAACACGCCGCCTCTCTTGCTGCCGGGCCACACTCTGGTGCAGCCGCCAGCGAACGCCTCGCCTCTGCCCTTGATCGCGCCGCTGAACAACGCCAGCGCCACCTCGCCTTGCGCATTCCGCGTGGCCGTCGCGGTGCCGCCGCCCCTGCTGGCCGTCTGGGCCGCTCATCTGTTCCATCTATCCCGGCCTCCCGCTCGGGACACGGCTACGATGAAGATGACCGCGGAAACTTGGTTCCGTATCCGGCTGACGATCACGCGGCTGTTTCAAAGCTCGGCCCGGGGCCAAGCACCTACACCCCGCGTGACACCATTTTGCGCTCCCGCGTCCCTGCCCCATCGCTCGCCGGCTACGCCGGCCGAAAATCCTCTCCCCGCGCCTCGGCCGCCAAAGACACTCCTGGTCCGGGCTCCTACGCCGTCTCCGAAGCCTACTCTGCCACCATCACTAGCAACACACGCTCGCCGCGTCGCGCCGCGCCTGTCCCCTTCAACACCACTGCCCGCCGCGTCCCACTCACTGCTCCCAACGCCGACGCCCTCCCCGGTCCAGGATCGTACGAGCTCGATCAGACTCCACTCTACGCTCCCAAGTCGTTCAATGTCACCTACGACGATGTCTACATGTGAGGTCGTTGTTCTCCCTCGTGATGCGAGCAGCTTGATCCAGTCCGGGTATCTGCTGCCTCTCTGCATTACTGTGATCCTTGAAGTATTTGCCAGTCATAAGCCGCCGTTAATCCAACTGAAGTGCGCTAGCTTGGACAACGTGTGATCTACACCTGCTTGATACGGTGTGCTGTGACAAACACAAGTGCGCGCTAGCATGAACAACGTGTGATATACACATGCTTGATACGGTGCGCTGTGACAAACAGCATAATAAAAACGGTTGATCATCCGTCGCCTGACACACTCGCATACAGATGCTTCAGACGTAAACAATCTGTTCGACATGCCTAAAGGAATCATGTGCAGTTGATTCGTCCAATGCAAAAGTATGTGATGTGTTATACAGAGTTTTAGTGTAGAGAGAGTAAAGCCTGAGGTGCTGCGTGTTTGTCTGCAAAGAGATCAAGTATGGATGTAACCGTGGTGCCTGGCGGGAGAAGCAAGCCACGCACGTGGGCTGCGTTCGCGCGTGGCACAGACACAGAACACTTGACCTGTCACGCCCTGGCATGGCCCATTCCCCACTCCACCTCCGGGTCGGGTCGACTGTTTCTGTGGACGCAGAGGCGCGCGGCAGAGTCATGGCCGCTGTGCCACTGTCCGGTGGTGGGCTAGGCCGTGCTTGGCTCGGCTTTGCTGTCTGTCTCACCGACTCTGCGGCGGCGTCGTCGTTGTCGCCTGCCGGGCTGGCGGCCTCGTGCCGCACCGTGCTAGCGCTGGCATCAGCGGTGTCGAGCTCGTTTGTGCGCGATCCACCGCACCAGACTCTCGGTCTACTCAAGGACGTCCTTATTGCTGCTCGGCGACTGTACGACGCTGTGCCGGCTGCTGGCTCGGCTGGGCGCATCCGCAGTGGTCTCGGCGACGCCGCCAGAGTCCTCAAGCTCGCCTACCGTAGTCTGGCGGATGCATCTCGTGTAACTGGAGTAAGATCGAGTCTCGCGCCTGAACTAGTTGATGGTGCTTGCGAAGCCCTCGAGGCAGCATGCCGTCGAGTGGGCGAGTTGCTGGCATGGGCCGAGGCCAAGGCAGCGCTTGCTGGCAATCTCGATGCCGACTGGTCTCAGAACGTCGATGCCGCCGTCTCAGACGCACTGGAGACCTCGTTGTACATTGCTGACGATTCGAGTAATAGCTCACCCGGTCACACTGTCGCACTCGACGAGCCTGTCACTACCGAGCTCCTCACCCGTGCCGCGGGATGCGAGGCGGCTGCCGATCGTGTTCTTGCCTCGGATGCGCTCGTCGACCTGCTTGCGCTTGGTAACTCACCAGTGACGCAGGACCCGACGTCAGGACTCTCGCTCGACACTGTTGTCCAGCACGTTGTCCGGGCCCGGGCCTCAGTCCGATCAGCCATCGAAACTCTGAGGAAGCGGCTAGCGTCCACCACTGCCCGCACCCTCCTCTCCAATGCGATTCACGAGCTCTGCGTTGCATGCAGGCTCCTCCACGCACACCTCGCCCTTATCAAGCGTTCAACATCTGCAAGTAGCGCGCATCCTGCTGTCGTCCGAGCTCGCGCAGGATCGGACGCGGCGTCAAGTGTCGGCTCGTACGCCACAGCTCTAACTCGCGAAGTCTCGTCGCCCACAGGTATGCACTTTCCACACCAGCGCTCGGTTCGGTTTGACGCGGGGCGCGGGCGGGCAGGGTCGAATGTCTCGTTGAACTCGACGTCGCCCATGCTCTCGCGCCGGCCGCTGGGGCTCGCCTACGCTGAATCAGTCGCCACCCTCTCGGACCACTCGGGCACATCACCACTGCAGCGCCGGCGCCGCTGCGGTATGAGCAACCGACTCAACAGTACATCAGGCTCGATTACATCACTGGCTACTCGCCTCTCCGAGCTGGGTAGAGACCGCCAGGCACCGCGGCCTCCGCTTGCTTACACCCTCACACCCGATGATCATGCCGCCATGGCCAGGTTGGACGCCACAGTCTCGTGCTCCGACCTGGATGAGAGCTCGATCTCCTCTGACGCCGAGTCGGGAAGCCCCAAGGCCAAGAGCAAGACCAAGGCCAAGGCCAAAAAGAGGCTCAAGAAGAAGAGAAAGTTGACAGACCGGAAGACTCCGCTGCCGATGGCTGCTCGCCGCATGGCGTCGATGTCGGCACTCAAGATGGCATCGGTTCTGGACAAGCTTGGGAGGGGAGAGCCGGAGCTGGCGGGCTCACTGGTTCGGACGCCGGACCATGTTACCAGTCTTGGCGAGAAGGAGGCAGGCCATGTCAATCTCAATCCATCGACCAACTCGCGGATCTCGTACCTGATGACACTACTGCAGGTCTCGCCGGGTCCCAAGTCGCTCGCCCAGATCCGCAAGGCCTTTGCCCGTGAATCCAAGGCGTGGCGCTCTGACTTTGCAGCCGCCGGCGGCGTCTCGGCACTTTTTGACCTTGCCAACATGGTCTCGTCTGTTGTTGCAGCTGTCGCTGACGATGTCGTACTTGCAGAAGATCTGACAGCCACCATTCTCCAGCTGACAGAAGCCGATGGTGGCGCGGAGCTCATTGCGACGCATCCGTCGCATCTTGCATCACTTGTTCGCCTACTGGTGTGCGAGACTGAGGTGGGCACTGGGCCGAGTGTCACAGCTGCGGCCTTGATACTTACCCGGGTTGTCGATGCTGGCCATGGAGGCGCGGTGCACGACGCACTGCGGAGTGTGCAAGCCGAGCTCGGGCGAGCATCGGTCATTGTGGATGCGCTCGCCATGCATGCAGGCGACTCTGGCACGGCTTGTGCCGTTGTCTCGCTCACCAACGCTCTCCTGGCCAGCTTTCCGCGACTTGCGCCTCGCGTCGCTGTCCGCACCACCCTCATCGACGCTGGCATCGGTCACCAGCTGACTGTGGTGGAGACTCATGCAGGAGCCTCGCTTGCCCCAATCGACGCGTTTCATCATGCTTGGGAGGACGACACAGCAGCGCTGTCTGTTGCCGGGCTTGATCTCACCTCGCCAGTTGCAGTCTGCAAGGCGCTCGCTGCCTCGTTGCGGACTACCGAGGCCTGGCCACTCTTTGTATCGCTCATGGAGCGGCTACTGGCAGTGCCGACCGATGGCACGCGTGGGCTCTCTGCTTGGTCTGCGCTCGTCGATACTCTCGATGCAGCGCTGGCGCTCGACGGTCCGGGCGTCAACGAGCCCCTGGCCAAGCTCAAAGATGCCATCGAGCAGCGATCTGGGCTCGAGAATCTACGCGCCGAGCGTGACGAGGCGTTGTCGACGGTTACACAGCTGGAGAATCACATCCAGGCGCTTCTTGCTCGGGCGCCAGAGGAGATTGCCATCGAGGTGGCGTCGTATCGGGCACAGCGCGCCAAGATGAGTGCCGTTCTTGCCTGCCAGGCGCAGATGGCGGCGGAGCAGCGTGCCGCCGACGCCACTCGTGCCGCTCAGCAACTTGATCGCTGGAAGGCGAAACACGACAAGTCAATGGCTGCCCTCAATGCCATGGCCAAAGAGCTCCGGACGCTCAAACTACGACTTGGCTTTGTTAAGCAGCCGTCCGTCTCGACGGTTGTGGCGGCGGCAGTGGGGCCCGAACCAAATGTGGCGCTAACCGAACCCAGCGCAGATGCTCCGCTCCCGCCATTGCCTGGAGATGCAATTCAGGAGGCAGCAGCGCCACCGCCACCGCCCAAAAGCATTCCACCGCCACCACCGCCGCCACCGCCGCCGCCGGGCTCAGCTGCTGGCGGCAGCAATGCCAGCGTCACCAGGGTAGCTCCAACCGAGGAAGGCGGATTCTGGACCGTGGATGGTTGGGAAGTGGCCAACGTGCCGATGCGCAAGTTGATGTGCCTACCGCTGCGGGATGTCGCTGGCACTGTGTTTGCGGACCTTGACGAAGCGGCGGAAGATGAGGCGCTGGACGAGATGCTGGAAGAGGTGCTGGATCTGCACGATCTCGAGCGGGCGTTTGCAGCGCGGGCTGCCAAGCCTGTGGCCAGCGCGGCCAAATCTGAAAAGTCAAGCTCGGACCACGTCGAGCTCCTTGACCCATCGCGGGCGCGAAACATCGACATTTTGCTCTCGCAGTTCAAGGGATGGAATCTAAGCCAGATTCGCAACGCCATTCTCGAATGGGACACGCAGGTCCTCACGCCGCAGCGGGTTCGCGCCCTTGTGCGGGCCGCCCCATCGGACGCCGAGACCGAGGTTCTCACCGAGTACACCGGCCCGCGGGCGTCACTTCCGCGACCAGTCAAGTTTATGTATGAGCTTGTGAGCGTGGCAATGCTCTCTGAGCGGCTCTCGGTCATGGTGTTTCTCGATGAGGCACCTGGTCACGTGCTAGATGTCTCGCACGACCTCGTAAGCGTCGCAGGCGCGCTGCACGCACTCGACACCTGCACTTCGCTCATGTCGCTGCTCCGGGTCGTCCGGCGCATCGTCAACTTTATGGGCGGCGCGTCGAAAAGCCGGCCTGTTGCTGGCTTCCGGCTCTCTGTCCTCACACGCCTCGCAGACGTTCGCGCCGCCGACGGCTCGACCACACTGCTGCACTACCTCGTGGAGCGAGTTGCTGATGCAGCGCCGCATCTCGGGCGGTTTGTGCAGGAACTGGGCCTCCTCGAGCACGCCGCATCCAAGCCGCTTACGGGATACATTGCGCCCAACGTCCGGGTCCTCGCCCGCGATCTCGAGCTCGTCAATGCCACCCTGCAGCAGCTACCGGCTGACGATCCGATCGTTGTCAAGGCCCGTCCGGCAGTCGCGGACATCACCGACCGCATTCACCACCTCCACACGGTACTCGCCGAGGCCAACGCTGACTACGCCCGCCTCGCAATCCGCTTCGGTGAGAAGGCCGACGTCGATGCTGAGGACTTCCTCGGCGTGTTGGTCCGGTTCCGCGCTCAGTGGATCCGCGCCGAGGCTGATCTCGAACGCGCGGCCAAGGTCCGCGACGCTGCTGCCAAGCGGGCCGCGCTTGCCGACACGCTTCGTGCAGTCAAGGCAAAGGCAAATCGACGAGGGAATGTCCAACCGCGGCTTGCCCCGAGCACCATCTAGGCGTGGGTGCGTGGTAAACGTAGATTAGCGGGGGCCGTACGCTCAGAGCTCTCTAAGAGCGGAGCCCGAGACGCGATAGCAACAAGAAAAAGGCACTGAAACGCATTCGCAATTTGATCTATAAAACTATATAAACACAAATATACAATTACATAAACATATACTCCAATTTTACACAACTCCAATTTTACACTATTTGTACACAGTATATTATATATAATGAATACATTTAACAAAAACAATCCAATTTCTAGATAAATGTTATCGTTTCGATCGAGATAATGGGCTGCTTAGCGTTTCTTGGTTTCTTGCGCGTTTAACACACCTCACAACCATGCAACCTCGCTAGTCACATATGTTACACCTTGCGTCACGTGGTCATATGCAAAACGTTACTGTAGTTGCTCTAGATGGTGAGAAACAGGCGATTATCCAATCTGTCGCAGTCGCACACCGGCAGTCGTCATCTCCCGGCGTCGATCGCGGACCACAACGCTCGCAAGCTAGCCCTCAGGGGAGGTATTCGGCCTCGTTGCAACGAAGCCTGTATCCAGCCTTTGCATGGCGAGCGTTGCTGGATTCCAGGTTGTCCGATCCGTTGCTGTGCTACATGGCCGGGTGGTGGCCCCCGGCTGGGACTCAGTTTGCAGCAGAGGCCAAGGCCGGCAGGCGTCGCACGTCTCTCCCGCTGGTCGTCACATGCGCAAGGGTGCAACACCACGGGCCGCAGGAGAGCGGGCCGAGGTGCAGGGCAGCCCACCGCGGGCCTCGCACGTAGACATGACGCTCAACCTGCTGGCCAAGCTCAACCAGCCACCGCGCCAGGCGCGGTACCATGGGGTGGAGGTCTCGAGCGTGGCGACACAGACCGAGGTCACCGAGGTTGCGCCGCTCAAGCTGCTGCTGCGCAACTTTACGGTGCTGCGGACGCGGCTGGCGCGTGTGGCGCAAGAGTCGGCCAACGTCAAGGTCCGGATGCAGGCCGAGTTCAAGGCCTCGCTCGAGGCGCAGCTGCAGCAGCGCGTAGCGGCCATGGACACGCAAGTTGCCACCATCCGCAAGGCGCACGATGAGCACCTGGAGGACGTCCGCGCCGCCGCCCGCACCGAGGTCCGTCGGGCCATCGCCTCTGTTCGCCGCGAGATCGTCATGCAGGCGACTGAGAAGGCCAAGGCCGAGCTGGCGTCTTCTGCCGCGGCAGGTGCGGTCCAGCCGGGCCCGTCAGGTGATCCGCAGTCAAGCGTCGAGCTCGAGATGGAGAACAATAGGTTGCGACGCGAAGTAGATGAGCTGCGTGACGAGCTCGACGAGACTCGTGATGACTTGGAGGACGCCGAGGCTGCTATTGAGACCCACCGCGCCCAGGTCGAGGCGTACAACACCACGCTGCAGAACACGCTGCAGACTCTGGCCGAGACTGTCGAGGCCCGATCGCGCGTGCCCGAGCTTGAGGAGCAGATCCGCCTCAAGAATCAGACCATTGCTCAGCTCGTCGAGCGCATCAACGCATACCACGAGCACGCCAAGGGCTTGCTATGATCGCATTGTCCTGTCTCGACACCACCACCACCGGCGCCGACACTCCTCACGGGTTTATCATCCTCACAACATCACTGCGAGTCGTCAGCGCACGGAACTGCAAAGGTGATGCCGTACGCCTTGGCGCCACCGCGCCTGGCTGGGTACTCCTCGTTGACCCGCCCAACCAGCCGGTACGACTGGCCGCCGTGCCCGGCCGACCCGGCGTTGGCCGCCAGAGCCGGCGCCGAGTACAGGGCCTTGTCCAGCGACTTGAGAAGGAGCTCGGATGGCGCGTTTGGCCGGCCCTCTGGGTAAGCCACGGCCTCGGACGTGGCCCACAGCTCGACGTTGCGCTTCTTGACCAGACTCGGGTCGATGAGCGTCCGGCGCTGTTGTTGTCCGGTGACCACATCCACCATCCATAAACCGCACCGCACCGCACCGTTTCGCATGAGTCCCTACGCGTGTCCCTCTCCTGCCCCCTTTGCCCTGCCCAACCCCCAACACGTACGTATGCGGCGATCTCGGGCGTCTCCTCAAACACCACCGGCTCGGACGGCTTGATGCGCTCCACCCGGGCAAGGTGGCGCAGATGCGCTTCGTTGAGGTTCATGCTGAGCTATGCTCTCTCCCTCACCAGCAAGCACACCAGCACACAGCCTGCAAGTCTTGTCTGTAGCCGTCCTCTGCTCTGCCCCGTGTCCAGGTAGCTCTCGCGTGTGTTCCTTCTCGCCAGAGCAGTGCTTCCGCCCAACGGCCGGCCCCGCCAGTTCGCCACCAACCACCCCGCCACGGGGGGGGGGGGGGGGGGGGGCAGCCACTTTGGCGACTCAACCAACCATCGCCCGCTCCGCACCACTCCTCACCCGCGGCCTCACCTCACTCCTCCCCCACACCCCTCCCACCATGGCTGAGCTCACCGACATCAAAATCATTGCCGTGGGCGAGTTCGGGTGCGGCAAGACCTCGCTCTGCCGTCGCTTTGTTGACGGCTCGTGGGTGGAGGCTGCGCCGGCGTCGGCCTCCGGCAGCAGCCATGCTGAGGGCGGCGCTGGAGCTGGCGGCGGTGGCAAGGCGCGCGGGCGCAGACATAGCGGAAGCAGCAAGCCGGCGAACACGCTAGAGGTCGATGATGTGCGGCGGACGGCATCGTCATGCCTCTCGCCCGAGGTCGTCTCGGCCTTTGTCCGCGGCGGCAACACGGCCGTCGCCATGCGTGACCTGGCCATGGAGCACCACTTTGTCAAGATCGTGACCATGGACGGCTCGCCGGTCCGCCTCCGCCTCGTCGACACCTTTCCGTCACGCCTCGCCTCGCCCGCTGCCCTCCTTGAGCTCGTCGAGGAGCTTGGCGTCTTCCACGGCGTGCTCATGGTCTACGACATGGGCTCGCTCTCCTCGCTCCGCACCCTCCGCGCCTTTGTCGAGAAGTTCCCGCTCGACTCGCTGCCCATCCAGCCTGTCGTCACCCTGGTGGCGGCCAAGGCCGATGATGAGGACGCTCGTGAGGTCTCGCGCGATCTCGTCCGCACCTGGTCCGACGAGGTCTTTGGCGGTGCCCCATGCTACGAGGTCTCCGCCCGCGAAGATCCCGACTCGGTCTCTGCCGTCTTCCTCGACATGTGCGAGCGCATTCGCGAGCACGCCTCCACAGCCTCGATCGACGTCGCCACCTCGTCGCCCATGCTCGCCCGCGCCGAGCCGTCCGACTGCCGCACCTCGTAGTCGGCCAATGCCATCCTTGGGTCCCGAAGGCGAGCACTGTGGCCCGCTTCCCCCCTCCCTCCCCCTCATATCGCTGGTTGTGCCTGTGCCATCTGCCAGTAAACAAGAGAATCAAATCATGTGGTATGTGGTGGTGCCCATCAAGGTCGTCAACTCGAGCGCCTTCAAGCGCATTCTGCTGGTCTGGACATCGGGCCTGACTACGCCGCCTAAAACGGATCACTGGCCCATGCCCTGCCCACTGACACCCTCTCCATGGACTTTTTAGTGTCTCTGTTGTCTGGTGGTGGTCCGATCTCACTTCCCTTGCCCCCCCCCCTCCCCCCCCCCCCCCTTTCCCTCCCTTCCCCAACCCACCTGCAATGGAAGCATTGCTCTCGTTGCCCGCGCCTCTCCCGCTCCACCCCCCCCTCTCCCACCGCCACCATGCACAGCGTACGCCTGCAGGCATGGCCTGCCGGCTGCGCCTCGCCGGGCGTCTCAATCCCACTATCTCCTGCCGTGGTTGCTGCTCTTGGTGCTGTCCTTGTCCCCGCCGTCCGTGCGGCTCTCGCAGTCTCGGCGCCGTCGGCGCCCCCCGGCTCTCTGCGTGTCGCGCTCGACGCCGTCGTCCTCGCCGCCGTCCCTGATCTCGACTCAGCAGACGACACCACGTGGTCACACGACGCCTTGGCCGGCGCACCGCTCCTGCCGCTGCCTGCCACATCCAGGCCCGAGCCCGAGCTCGGCCCACCGCCGGCGCCGGCGTCGCAGACCGACGACGCTGCGCTCTCTACCTCGGGCTCGCACACCGGCTCGGCATCGCAGACGCTGACGCTCACTGCCGATCGGACAGAGACCCTTGCGCCGCACGCTCTTGCGCAACTCCAGTTTTCCAAGCCGCCCCACGCCCCACAGCTGCCATCGTCGCCGTCGTCGCCGCTGCCAATGGCGAGGCCGCGGACGGCGGGGGGTGGTGCTGGGCCTGCCGACGCCGGCCGGATCGCCGCTTCGCCGCCGGCGTTGTTGCAGCCGGTCAGCGCCGGTGCTGACGCACCGGGTCGCTCCTCGCCGCTGGTCCGCTACGTCATCGACAAGTCCGGCTGGTCCAACGACATGGACGTCATCGAGTGGGCTGAGCTCAAGGGTCTGGAAAAGATCGGCTCAGGTGCGTTTGGCACCGTCTACAAGGCCGAGCGGCACCACAAAGAGTGCTGCATCAAGGTCTTTGACGCACGCTCTCGCCGTCGGCGCTGCAGTCGTTTGTTGAGGAGGCCCACGTGCTTGCCCAGCTCAAGCACCCCAACTGCGTCCTGTTCATGGGCGTTTGCCTCGATCCGGACCACACTGGAGTGGTCACCGAGTACATGGACGGCGGCGACTTGCGGCAGCTCCTCCGCGCATGGCGGGCAGCACACTCGGAAGATGGCCTCGCGTACCCGTACCCAGCCCCGAGCTCACCGCTCGCACCGCTCGCCTTTGCGTCGCGCAAGACCCGGGTCCGTATCTTGCTGGAGGCCGGCATCGGCCTGCAGTACCTGCACTCGCTTGGTTTTCCGCACCGCGACATCAAGCCGTCCAACATCCTCCTGGAAGGCCGCATGTTTCCTGTCAAGCTCGCTGACTTTGGCATGTCAGGACCCAAGGCGGCGCTCTCCGGCGGCGGCGGCACGCCGAGGTACTCGGCGCCCGAGGTTCTCCTCGGCGCTCAAGCTGACGCTGCATCGGACGTCTTTTCTTTTGGAGTGGTTGTTTACGAGGTCCTCACTACCACCAAGCCGTGCCTCCGTGGCCGCAACGCCTTTGCCTCGCCTGTCGCCGAGCCTGCTCATCTGGAGACGCCTTCGCTCATTCCGGCTCACACTGCCGCCCTGCTCTCGGCCATGCTTGCGCCCGAGCCGGCGGATCGCCCGTCCATGGCTACAGTGTGCGAGGCTCTCGTTGCTCTGCACGACTCGCTGTGGGCCGCACCGGCGCCTATCCTCCTCGTGCCCGACGACATCGTCCTCCGCATCTTTGGTTTTGTTCCGCTCCGCCAGCGCGCCTCGCTCCGTGCGGTCTGCCGTGCCTGGCGGGCCATCACCGAGAGCCACGCGCTCTGGGCGCCCGATCTCGACGAAGCGCTGGTTGTTGACTCGGATGAGCGAATTCAGCTCCTGCTCCGCGCGCCGTATCTTGGCGTGGCGCACTGGCTCTTTGGTCTCACCTCGCTCAAGGTCGGGCGCCATGTCTCGGACACTGGGCTGCACATCCTGGCCTCGTTCTGTGTTCAGCTTGTCGAGCTTGACCTCTCGCCGGCGCTGCTCGTCTCGGACCTTGGCGTCCGCGACATTGTATCATCGCTCACCGACCTCACTGATCTCGACTTGTCAGAGTGCAAGCATCTCTCGGACCGTGCGCTGCAGTACGTCGGCGAGTCGTGCGCCTCGCTGACCAAGCTCAATCTCGACTCGTGCGTCGCCATGACCTCGGCAGGCATCAAGCACCTCGCCATCGGCTGTCCCGACTTGCGCATTGTATGCCTCGCGGGCATTGCCACTATGGGTGACCCTGCTCTGCTCTTCCTTGCCTCGTGTGTTGGCCTCTCCGAAATCGACGTCTCGGGCTGCGCTGCCGTCACCGACGTAGGCCTCTCTGCGCTTGCCGCCTCATGCGTCCTCACTACCGTCATCGCCACCGCCTGCCCCAATCTCACCTCGCGCGGCGTCCGCGAGGTCCTCGAATACTCGGCTAATCTCCGAGTCGCTATCTTTAACGACTGCCCGGACGTCGGCTCGGATGCCTTTGCCGACTATGTTCCGCCGCGGCTGCGCCATCTCTCTCTCGCCGGCTGCCGTCGGGTCGGCAACTCTGCGCTCCGGCTTCTGCCGCCGACGCTCGAGCTCCTCTCCATCTCTTCGTGCACCCGCATCAATGCCGTCGGGTACGCCAGCCTTGCCGAGCTGGGCCTCACAGCACTCGAGGCGCTCTCGTTGCGGCGGACGTCAGTGACAGATACCCAGCTCGAGCCGCTGCTGGTCTCGACGGCTGGCGCGCTCTGCTCGCTGGATCTCACGCAAGCGCTCAAGATTGGCGATGCCGGCCTGCATGCCATCTCGCAAGCTGCCCCGCATCTGCGGCGCCTTGCTCTTGGCGGCTGCCACCGCATCTCCAACGACGGCCTTCGCTTCCTTACCCGCGGCTGCACGCAACTAACGGAGCTTTTTTGGACGGCTGTTCCAAGATCGACGACCTTGGCATGGCATATCTCACAAACCTAAGCTCGCTCTCAGCGCTCTCGCTGGCGTGGTGCTCTCGGGTCACTGACCTCGGCGTCGAGTCGCTTGCTCATCTACCAGCGCTCACGCGGCTCTCGCTCGAGCGGCTGCGGCTGCTGTCCGACAGCGGCGTGCTCGCGTTGGCGGCGCACGCTGCCTCGCTCACCTCGCTCAACATCTCCGAGTGCAGCTTAGTCACCGACGTGGCGCTCGACGCGTTGGCGCAAGCCGCCTGCGCATCCAAGCTCGAGACCATCAATCTCGCCCGCGTCGCTCACATCACCGCCCGTGGCGTTGAGACGGTGCTGACCGAGTGCTCGCGGGCTCACGTCGTGGTTAGTGCTGGTTCCAAGACTGTCACCGCCGATCAAGCCGAGTATCTGCGGCTGCGGCACGGGACCCGGCTTGCGCTTGCGTGACGGCTACGCGCGCGAGCGGGCAAGAACGGCGCGAGCCCACTTGATGACTGGCTCGTCGACAACCTTGCCGTCGACCTCAAAGGCACCGACGCCGTCCGCGGCGGCAGCGGCAGCCTTGTCGACAATCCGCGTGGCGAGCTCGATTTGATCGGCGCTCGGCGAGAAGCACTCGGTGATGACCGGGACCTGTGCAGGATGAATGGCGTACTTGCCGGTGTAGCCGAGCGCGTAGCCGTCGGCGCACTCTGCGCGCAGCTTGGCCTCGTCCTTAAAGTCGACACAAACCATGTCGATAGCCTCAAGGCCGTAGGCCTTGGCCACGGTCACCATGTGCGAGCGCGCGTAGAGGAGCTCGTGGCCGCCCGGGGTCCGCACGCCGCCGATGTCGGCGACATAGTCCTCGGCGGCAAAGAAGAGGCCCGTGAGCGAGTTGGCCTGGGCCAGGGCGTGGGCGTGGAGCAGGCCACGAGCCGACTCGATCGAGGCGTAGATCGCAAGCCGCTTGAAGCCCGCCGCGGCAACCGCCGACTGTACCGCGTGGATCTGCGCCACCGACTCGACCTTGGGCAGGACGAGGCCGGTGAGCGCCTTGCGGCTCCGCCCGGCACCCGGGCCGAAGAGCGCAGCCATGTCGCGGGCGCCCTCGTCGCTCTCCACCGGATTGATCCGCACAAGCACGTCGTCGGCGGCAAACGCCAGCCCGTCCTCGCCGTCGGCCAGCACCGCCGCCACCGCCGCCCGCGCATCGCCCTTGGCCGCGCTGGCCACTCCGTCCTCGAGGTCGAGCACCACCGCGTCGCACGCCGTTGCCGCCGCCTTGCCCAGCATCTTAGACGAAGACGCCGGGACGTTGAACAGCACGCGTCGTGCGAGCTGGCTGGCCATGTTTGTAGTGTGTGTGTGTGTGCTTGGGTGCGTGTGGGGTGTGGGCGTGTCTGGGCTTTGAGTCACCGCCACCACGTCGGTCGCCGCCAGCACTGTTCGGTCACAGGCTGTTCGGTCACAGGCTGGCTAGGACACTTTGATCGGCAACGATGGCACCACGCTCCCTGTCCCCCTCCTCCTCTCTTCATCGACTTTCACCGAGCGCAGTGTATGTTTGTAAGCTTGCGTGTGGAGGTCCGCACGGGATCGTAGGCGGGGTCCTAGAGCGGGTTCTCGAGAGCATACGAGGCCCAGAACTGGATGGCGGCCCAGACTTCCTCACCGGTGGGGATGATCTGGTTCGGCGGGAGGAGAAAGCCCGGATTGGCGGAGGCAGGGCGCGCCTCGAGCGTAAAACCGTAGGTCAGGCGGCCGATGCCGTCGAGAATCTGCTGGCCGTAGAACCAGTCGCCAGCCGAGCCGGTGGTTGGGTAGAGATCAACCGACGGCTGAGAGACGTACTTTTTGCCGTGCACTTTCTCGATGGCGAGCGACTGAAAGTTCCCCGAGGTCTGCAGCTGCTGGGCATGCGGCGGGGCAGCGTGGGTCCAGCCGTACGGGCCCAGGATGAGCTGCGAGTAGGCGTGGAGGTCGTAGGCGGCCACGATCCGCGAGTTCTGCAGGATAAAGTCCGAGACAGCAAGGGTCTCCGGGGCGGCAAACGGCGCTGGGCCGTGGTAGGTGTCAGATCGCGGGTTGGACGACGAGCCCTGTCCGCCCCAGTGGTCGTCCCAGTTGCGGTTGGCATCGATGCCGTACGAGCCGTCAGCGTTGCGGTACCGGGTCTTGCGCCACAGCCGATCGGTGGTCCAGGTGTAGGCGTACCCGTCCGGGTTGACCACCGGGACAAGCACAAACTCGGCGGCTTCAAGCAGAGCTGTCTCGGTTGTTGTCGCCAGCTGTTGCGCAATGTACTGAATGACTGCGCCGCCGATCCACTCGCGCGCGTGCTGCAGGGCCTGGAGGTAGATCTGCGGCCGCTGGGCGACCGGCACGGGGCTGGGCGCCGAAATCCTCACAGCAAACAGAGCACGGCCCTCGGTCGACTCGCCGATCCGTGGCTGGAACGAGACCCGCTCCGGGTACTGCGCCGCAAGCTCGGCGAACCACGCCGCGATCTCGTCGTACGTGTGGTAGTCGTTGAACCACGGCGTGTTCGACGTTCCACGCGCCAGCGGTGCCCGCGACGCCGCCACCAGCGCCTGCAGATCGTCCACCACCACCCGGCATCCGCCCGCCACCGCAGCCAGTCCCCGCGCGACGACGGCACCGGTGACGCGGACATCAGTCACCCCGTCGCGCACCGCCCACACGTCGCCGCCGACCTCCTCGGCCCAGGCACGCACCGCCGCACCGCCCGTCGCGTTCCCATGCTGGCACTCGAGCACCACCTCGTCGTCATACCGCACCACCTTGTCTCCCGCTGCACTCGCAACAGCTGCCGCAACCAACACCATGACCATCACTGCCGCCACCATCGCACTCGGTCGCCCCATCATCACTCCGCCCGCACGTGACATGTGTCGCTCGTCAGGTGGCTGGCCACCCCCCCCCCTTCTCACCCGACCAAAAAAAACACCCCCCTTCACTCAGCTAGACCCAATCCGCAGTGCTGCCTCTGCCGCCGGGCGTTTGTGGCGGGCAGCCACCGGCCATCGGTTGGCTCATCATTCATGCTCAGGATCAGGATCAGGATCAGGATCACTCCGACGACGACCATCAACACTCGTCGTTGACAGCATGGTTCAGACCAAGAAGCTGACGACCCGCGCCGTGGAGGGCCTGCGCAAGAAGCGCCAGAAGAAGCAGCGTATGTGGTGCGGGGGCGTGTGTGTGTGTGTGGGCGTGTGTGTGTGTGGGCGTGTCGGAGGGGGCGGTGGTGAAGGAGGTGGTGGTGGGCGGTGGCAGGATGGCCGACTTGGCCGAGTCGCATGGCCAGAGGCCTCCCGAGGGCGGGACGGGGCGGGGCGGGGCGGGGGCGGCAGCTGTGCTTACTATGCCATGTGGCGGCCGGTGCTGCATGGGGCGGGAACAGGGGTGAGTAAGGCGCGGATGAAGAAGCGCAAGTACAACAAGAAGGAGCTGGATCAGCGCAAGCTCAAGGTGGCCATCAACCAGAACATCGAGCGCATCATGGCCAAACGGCTCGAGCGCGCCTCGCGGTTCTCGGTCAACAAGAAAGCTCTCGGCGTTGTCAAGGCTCTTCCCAAGTCGGAGCTCCTCACCAAGGGCAAGAAGAATGTCCGCAAGACTGCCGATGATGACGATTAGACGACGAGACTGCTCGCCGCGCGCCGACCTCTCATCGTGCGCACGCCAAACCTTGGACCTCTCATTGTGCGCGCGCCGACCTCGCATCGGGTGCGTATCGCTATCTATTGTGCACCACAATCACGCACACACACTTGCATCCTGCCTCGACAACATGGCGCGTGATGCAGAGAGGCTGCGCCATCGGCCAGCATGGCGCCGGCATCGGGCGCTGGCCCCGAGCGGGTGGTAAACCCGTCGGCAGACAGCAGGAGTTTCATTGTCACACTACTTTACGGCGCATCATCAGCCTCCGACACTGCGCCACCGCTAGTCGCCCCCTCGTCGTCGGCGGCGCCTGCAACCTCCACAGCAGAAGCGCCGGCCTCGGACGCCACCTCTCCGGCCATGTTAAAGACAACAACCAGCGCGGTGATGTTGTCGAGCGAGCCCTTCTTGAAGGCGTACTCGACGAGACGGGCCGGACGTCAGCGGCAGGAGCGCCGTCGGCAAGAGCAGCCGACACAAAATCGGCGGCGTCCTGGTAGGAGAGGACGTCCCAGAGGCCGTCGCAGGCCAAGATGAGGAACTCGTCCTCGTGGGTCAGTTCGACACAGTTGATGTCAGGCTCAGCAATGAGACCCGAGGGCTTGCCGTCGGTGTTAGGCCCAGCCTTGAGCGACGACGCTCCGATTGACCTTGTCACTCCAATGTTGAGGACGGCCCAGATGGGATGAACCAGCCGCGACCGCCGGATCCGGCCGCCGGCCTGCACCACCCGCACCTCCTCGGCATGGTTGGTCTTGGCGTTGTGCACAATCGAGAGGCACGTCGGCGCACCGTTGCGCACCAGCACACACTCCGAGTCGCCCACGTTTGCCACCCACAACAGGTTGTTGACTAGCAGCGCCACAACAGCGGTCGTCCCGTCCTCCATGTTCCCCTCGTATGCCTTGCTCATCCACCCCTCTTCCACCTTGGCAAATCCCTCCTCGATCGCCTCGCGGATCCGGCGGTGCGCAAAGTGCTGCGAGGTGGCAATCACATTGTGCAGGTGCTTGGACACATACTCAGATGCCCGCTTCCCGCCGTGTCCGTCATACACCCCGCAGAACGCAATGCGCGGCTTGATGTTGCGGTCCACCGGTCCGCTGCCGCTCTCCGCCGCAAACGGAATGATGATGTGATGGTCCTCCATCGACGGCCGCACCCCGCGGATGGCATGCACGCCCACATCGATCCCGTATTCAAAGTCCACAGCCACGCGCGTGCCTTCTGCCGGCTGCGCAGGCACAGACACTGCAGACTCGGACGCCATTGCGCCCTCAGTCCCATCACTCAATACAGCTGCCGCCTCCACAGTTGGGTTGGACGCCGAGAAGTCGTCCCGCTGCGACGGCAGCGACTGCGACGATGATGACGACGATGATGACGACATGCTCTCACTCTATTCGGCAACAATGCAATTCGCTTCTGATTTTGCTTCTGCTTGCACAAGTACCGGTCCTCGTGCCCCTTCCCCTTCCGATCGCTAGACGGTTCGCTCTACCTGCCTGTCGTCCAAGCCGCCGCCAGCCGCCGCCCGCACCACCACCACCACCACCACCACCACCATTACCACCATTACCACACAACACCACCAGACATACCACCAATGAGTTCCCCATGCACACCACCATCCACATCCCCTCTTCCCTGTCTCCCCTCCCCCTCCCCCTTCCCTTCCCCCCAAAGAACGTTCCCCTCTTCCACACGCACGCGACCTGCCTCCCCCCTTCCCCCCCTCCCCCCCTCTCCCCTCCTTCCCTCTCCTTCCTCCCTCTCCTCTCCTTCCCCCTCATCCCTCCCCTCCTTCTTTCCCCCACCCCTCCCCCCACCCCCCCCCACCCCCCCCACAACTGTTGCAGGACACAACGGCTGCAAAACCGGTTCCACCGGTACCTCCACCCCACCACAGTCATGGCCACTCTCTCCACCCCCGCTAATCACCCCCACCCCACCCCCCACCCCCCACCCTGCACGGCTTCACATACCCCTTGCTGCTACCTGGACTGAGTCGAGTGCACTACCAGCTGTTGGGAACCGTGGCTTTGCTGTCGGGGAAGGGAAGGGGTGGAGGGGGGACTCGTCGGCTGGTGGCGGTGTTGGTGCCAGTGATGGCACACACTTGTTGCCCTTAGCAAATGTTCTTTGAACGGCTGGCGTAGAATCACCGACAACACGGGTCTTCAACCGCCACGCAGAAGCTATGGTCCGCTTTCAGGAGCACACCTAGGAATCGGCCCGCATGGCAGCGCAGGCCCGCGATCGTGTCGCCACGCCGTCTCACTAGCTGGCTTTTCTGCTCCTTCGGAATGCTTTTTATCGTTTCGCGTCGTCTTGCCCTAGACATGTTGCAACTACGCAACGTCCTTGGTCGCCGCCGAGCCCGGGTTGTACTCGGTTCCGTTGTGCTTGCCAAACGAGGTAGTGCAGCGAGCCATGACTGGCGAGGCCCGCGAGATGGCATCGTTCTGGTAAAAGTTGTCGATGACGAGCTCGATCGGCGTGTTGAGGGCACCGTTGGAGGTGGCGGCGCGCATGGCGTCAAAGGCGAGGTCCGAGATGGCCGCCGAGGCGAACGGCGGGGTGTCCGGCACAGCCATGTGCGGGGCAACGGCAAAGAGGCGGGCCTGGACCTCCTCGGCCGTGGCGTACGGCAGCGGCTTGCCCACGACCTCGGAGAGGGCGCGCGGGATGGCCCAGTCCGGACGGGCGTGGCCGGGAGTCGGCGCTGCGCGCCGGGTCCGCTGCACGCGCCCTTCTGTGTTGACGTACGTCGCCGTCTTCTCGGTGTACGCCGCACCCGGGAGAATGACGTTGGCGCGTGACGCGCCGGCGTCGCCGTGCGAGCCCTGGTAGATGACAAAGGCGTCATCCGGAATCGACGCCGGATCGTAGTCGTCGGCGCCAACGAGGTAAACAACCTTGGCGGGCGCCTTGTCGGCGCCGACGCCCGGCACAAAACCGACGTCGAGCGCTCCGACACGCGACGCGTCGGTGTGCAGCATGTTGATGCCTGCCCACGACGACTCGCTCGACACCTTGAGGTGCGGGTACTTGTCCGCGAGCTGGGCCAGGAGGCCTGGCAGCGCCGCCGCGTCCTTGCCGGCCCACGCGCCCTTGCCCACCACCACCACCGGCCGCTCGGCCTTGGCCATCGCGTCAGCGAACGGCGACGTGCCGTCGGCGAGTGCCTTGAGCGCCGCCAGGTCGGAGCCGAGATGGTCGTAGTCGTACGTCAGCTGTGCGCCCTCGGCGCCGATGTACCCGATGTCCAGCAGGTCGTAGTTGCGGAGCGCCTTGCGGATCCGGGTGTTGATGATGGCAGCCTCGACTCGCGGGACGGCGCCCACAAGCAGCAGTGCGTCGGCCTCCTCGAGCGCCTCGATGGTGGTGTTGAACACGTAGTTCGGCCGCAGGTCCGCAGACAGCGCCGCACCGTCCTCATGCACCGTGTTCTCCGAGCCGAGCGAGTTGACCAGGTCCTTGACCGCCATCAGCGTCTCGGCGTCTGCCATCGGCCCGGCAACAGCCTTGAGCGCTCCGTTGGCCAGCTCGGCCTCGGAGAGCGCCGAAATCGCCTCGGCCGCCGTCGCCAGCGCAGTCTCCCACGACACAGGCTTGTGGTTCACCATCGGCACGTCAAGCCGCTGCGCCTTCAGCCCATCGCACGCGTACCGCGTCTTGTCTGAAATCCACTCCTCGTTGACGCCCTCGTGCAGCCGCGGCAGGATCCGCATCACCTCGGGCCCACGCGTGTTGACCACAATGTTCGAGCCAACCGCGTCAAAGACGTCAATCGACTCGGTCGCCTTGAGCTCCCACGACCGCGCGGAGAATGCGTACGGCTTGTTCGTGAGCGCGCCCACAGGGCAGATGTCCACAAGGTTGCCAGACACCTCCGAGCCAAACATCTTGGACACATACGTCCCGATCTCCATCTCGTTGCCGCGCCCGGTCACGCCGAGCATCTCCACGCCGGCAACCTCGGTCGCAAACCGCACGCACCGCGTGCAGTGGATGCACCGCGTCATCACCGTCTTGACCAGCGGGCCGAGGTCCTTGTCCTGCACCGCACGCTTGTTCTCAAAGAACCGCGACCGGTCCGACCCGTACACCATCGACTGGTCCTGGAGGTCGCACTCACCTCCCTGGTCGCAAATCGGGCAGTCGAGCGGGTGGTTCGCGAGGAGGAACTCCATCACGCCCTCCCGCGCAGCCTTGACGTTGTCCGTGTCCGTCATCACAACCATGCCCTCCTCAACCTGGATTGCACACGACGCCATCGGCTTGCGTGCCTTCTCAATCTCCACAAGGCACATCCGGCAGTTGCCCGCAACCGCAAGACGGTCGTGGTAGCAGAACCGCGGAATCTCGATCCCAGCCACCGCACACGCCTGAATGATCGCCATTCCCTTGGGCACAACAACCTCCTGCCCATCAATCGTCATCGTCACCATCGGCACCTCCTCGCTCAGTCCCTCCAGACTCGGCGCCGCAGACGTCCGCGCCGCCCCGGACAGCGCCGCCCGTCCAGCCAGCACTCCAGCGCCTGCCCACCAAAGATACCAGCCCATGCCTCACACACAATAAGTACTTGCCATTCCCTCCTACCGCAGCCAACACCCCACACAAGCCACCCTCCCCCCTCCTCCCTCCCCCCCTGCCTTGCCGACGCAGCGTAGGATGGCCGTCCAAAAAATTAGCCGCGGCCCAAGCCCCCGTCAGCAGCGCTGCCTCCGCCACCCTCCACACACTTGCGCTCACCCCTGCCAACCTCCGACCCACTCCATTGCCTCGCCTGCTCTTTCTCCTTCGCTCTACTTGTTTCTTCACCTCGCTGACTCGTTCCTCTCGCCCTCCTGCCTCGCCTGCCCGCCCGCACGTACGCTGAACAGCACCCACACGGAGCATCGGGTGAATTCGCAAAGTTGTGTGTTGGAGGCATTTGTCCATTGGCTGACTCGGGCCAGCCATGCCAGCTGCTGGCCGTCGGCCTCCCGCCCGCCGCTCGACCAATCTCTCACTCTCGCTCTTGCTCACTCGCTTCCTGCTTCGCCATCCAAATAGGACACACGGCCACTTGCACTTTTGTAATCATCCGCATACATGCATGCTTGCTTGCCGGCTAGAAGCGACGGATCCGTGGCGGGGGAGACATGGCGAGTGAAGGCGGTGCCCACATGGGCAGGAGTGGGGACATGGCCGACGGCCCGGCGGCATGCGCCGGGGACGGTCGCGGCGGCGAAAAGGCCCACGACAGCGGTGGGTGTGCCGGCGGTGGGTGTGCTACCGCTTGCAGCTCCGGCATCGCGTCGGGCCGCGGCTCGGCCGGGTACCGCGCAAGGAACGAGGCAATCATGCCCTCCAAGCTCGGCTCAAAGTCCTGCTTGACCACCCGGCCGGTACCTGGCTCGATAAAGGTGTGCGACTGGACAAGGACCGGGCGCGGCTTCTTGAGAGCAAGGACGGCATCGCGGAGCTCGAGCCAGTCGCCGACAACGTCGGCGTAGGCCATGAAGAACGCAGTGCCGCCTGCGGCGTCGCCGGTCGACTTGTACGTCTGTAGTGCGGTGAGGAACTTGGCGATGGCAGGAATGCCGACAGTCGCAATCTTATCAGCATCGACGCTGACGTGCAGCTCAGGCTCACGGTGGATGGTGACGAGGCCGTCACCTGCCTCGAGCATGACCCGCAGCAGGACAAAGCGCGCGTGCATGTGGGCCTGGTGCCATGCGCCGTCGTCGGGCGAGAAGAACTCGAGAGCGCGCACGCCGGCACGCGCCATGGCCAGCCAGTTGATGTACGCCAGCCGGGCTTGCTCCTCAGCCCCAGTGTGGCCAAAGATCTCCAGCACCTGGGGGTTGACACAGAGGAAGAGACCAACGGCTTCGGCCCGGCACTCCTCGTATGCTGACGAGACCGAGCCGAACTTGGACGAGTACGTCTCACCCGGCCCGTACCAGCTCGTCACTGGCTCGCCGGTCAGCGGAGAGACGGTGGTCTCGCGGTCAAAGTTGAGGCTCCCGTCGCCGGCTGAAGCCAAGATCTTGCCCGAGCCGTGACCAAGCAGCTCGTGAAGGCCAACCTGGACCTCAAACGCGGGCCCGTGCAGCGCCTTGTACTCGGCCTGGTCGCTGTCGGCGAGGAGCGGAACGGCTTCGGTGGTGTTGGCTGACGCCGCGAGCACGTTGCCGAGCGAGACGTTCTTGAACCCGGTGTTCTGCCGCACCTCGTCATAGTTGGGAATGTTGATGCCGGCCGGAACGCCCGACGAGCCAAACGAGACAACATCGAGCGAGGTAAAATCTGGCCGCCGGAAGGTGTCCTTCTCAAAGGCAGCACCCCACGGGAGCTGGGCCAGAAAGGTTGGCGCGGCAGAGACGAGTGCGTCAAACTTGGCCGAGCCGGCGGCGTTGACCACCGCCACAAAGCCCTCCCACTCGCCGCGGACGCCAGCTGGGTCACGGTACGACTCGATGAACCCGATGTTGGTCTCCACCGCAGGGCCGACATCGGTCACCCACTCGCGCTGCGACTCCTTGTGGGCCTCGATCGAGCCGCGGGAAAACGACTCGATATACTTGCTAATCATCCGCACCTGGGTCGGGTTGGCTGCGTACTGCCTCGCCCGCTCCATGTACCGCACCACGGCCTTGAGCCAGTGGGCGTGGTCGCCAAACTCGAGCGCCACCCGCCATCCGCTCTCGCTACCCACGCTGTAGGCGCCATCGGCATCGGTCTCGAGCTCGGCAAGCCCCGGGAAAATGCCGGCCACGCTCGGGACGGCCTCGGTCTCCACCGATGCGATGCGCAGGAGGAGCAGGTCGTCAGCGGTGTCCGAGCGCCACACCCGGGTGTTGTACGGAGACACGCCGTGGCGGTCCATCCAGCTCTGCAGCGCGGTGACCGCATCCTGCGAGATACCAGGCCCGTAGTACATGGTCACGCCCGCGCCTTCAAAGCCGAGCGTTGCGGTCGTCGCATCACTCGCCCACATGGCGTCGGCGACGGCGGCGAAGCGGGAGAGCAGCTCTGCAGTGAGACGAGGCGCAAAGGCACCGCTCTCCAGCAGAGCTTTGACCTCGTCGGGCGACGCAGCTGGCACAAACTTGCGATCGCCAAACGAGGTGTAGTTGCCCATGTTGCCGTAGAACCGGGCCGAGTACAGCGCCAGTGCATCGACAGCATCCAGGCACTCTGGCGCATTGGCATCGAGAACAGCCTGCTTAAGACCCGCCGGCCCGCCCGACCACGCCCACATGGGATGCAGCCAGTCAAAGATCAGCGGAGCCTCGGGCGAGCACTGGGTGAGGCAGATGCGGGCGCCCCACCAGGCCGCCTGCGACATAAAGTGGGCGTACGCCTTCTCCCGCTCGCTCAGCCCGTCCCACGCCTCGGTGCACTCGAGCACCAGCACGTTCTGGCTCTTGCACACTTCAGCCATTGTTTCCTGGCGAGAGAGTAGTCTTGGTGCTATCTAAGGGTGCTTGTTGCTGTTGTAGAGGCGTGGCAGTGGCAGTGGCAGTGGCAGTGGCAGCGGGAAATGGCTGGCACCGTGGGTCGCTTTGCCACCACCCACAGGTGCGCCGTATCGTCTTCTCTGCGGCGATTGCTTTGGTGCATGGCTTTGGGGTATGTGGGGAACCGGTTGATCCTAGCTGTGGCAAGACGCGTGCAGCAGAAAGGGAGGTGCTAGCTGGTACGTTAATCGGTGTCGCGCGCTGCAAGGATGACGGCAGTGCGGCGGTCGGGGCGGATGCAGACGATGCCCCAGACCCAGGCCGAGTAGGCGTAGAGCTCGGCGTGCCATGGGGAGAGAAAGGCGTACCACTCGCAGGCAATGATGGTTGGAGACGCATCGGTACGGCTGGCTTTGGTCTCGTCGGCGAGCGTGATGCCAGCTGCGGCCGCCACGGCGGACCAGGCCTTGGCAAACGCGGCGTCGGGTGTGGCCGACGCCCCGTAGCATCCGCCGACAACCGCGGCCGATCGGAACATCTCCAGTGCCTGTCGAGGAGTCTGGCGCTGACAGCTCGAGCCGCTCGTAAAGGCCATGCTGACCGCATCAAGGACGGTCTCACACGCCGGCGTGCAGCTAGCATCGCACGCGGCTGGCTGCAATGGAAGCGGCCCAGCCAATGTGATGGTCGCGCCCTTGATGTGTCCGTTCGATCCGCGATGCCAGGTAGCAACACACTCGAGGGTGCCGGCTGGTGACTCATCGTACGCCGTCTGTGCGCAGGCCTCCATAGCCTCGGCGCGAAACGCGACGCATCCGTCGCATTGGCATCGGCTGCCGTCGGGGGATGAGAGCGGTGAGAACGCCGAGTTTCGGGCCGGCACCTCGGAAGCGTCAACCGGTAGACCGAGCTCGACTTGCCCGTCTAGCCCGTCAAGAGTGCCGTCTGCAGCCATAGTCCAGTCAAGAGTGCTGTTGATGGTAGCTTAGCCGTGTAGCGCACCGGCGTCCGTCGCCGTTTACCCTGCGACTGCGTCGCTCATCGAAGCCACGCGTTTGTCTCCGTCCCGCCGGCAGTCGCTTCGCTTCCAAAGCCCAGAACTCGAACAGGCAGTGGAGGTAATGAGCAGAATGTGGAGCAGGCGATTGTGAGCAGGTAATGAAGCTTGCGACAGCGCTGCAGCTGCCGTACCCCACCAGTCCAGTGCGATCATGCGCGCGCAAGCTGTGTGTTTTTTCCATTGTTTGCGACGCGACGACAGCCATGACTGGCACATGCGGGTGAAGTAGCCGGGAGGAGGGGGGGTAGGGGGAGGGGGGGGGTGTCTGTCACCGCAACCGCGTCGTGGCTTTGGCCTCGGTCACCCGTCTGTTGTCAGCAGGAGACTTGAGCTATCCTGTCGAGAGCTATGGAGAGCCTGTGGCCTGTGCTGGAGGCGCTCGGAGTGGCCAGTGCTGATGGTGTGGTCAAGACACTGACACTGGCTGTTCCACTGATTGCCACTCTGTGGTATTGGGTATGGCCATGGGGAGAGGAAGAGGGAAGAGGGGGAAGGGGGGGGGGGGGATACTCATGGTGTGTATGTGTATGTATGCGTGTGATCGGTTGGGTGGTGGGGTCATGGCTGACGGTGGTGGTCATGGCTGACGGTGGCTGATGGTGGCTGGTGGTGGCTGGTGGTGGCTGGTGGTGGCTGGTGGTGGCTGGTGGTGGCTGGTGGTGGCTGATCATGGCTGATGGTGGGTGGTTATGGTTGACGGTGGCCGGTTATGACTGGGCATGGCTGATGGTGGCCGGTGTTGGCTTGTGCGGGCGGATGGTGGCTGGTCATGGACAGAGTAACCGATCTTTGTTCTCGGTCCCGTGGCAAACAGCTCATCCGTCGGGCTACTGCGAGCGGTATGATCCGCGCCACTACTCGGAAGAGGTGCGTGGCTCAGAACTGGTGGTGGAGAATGGGAATGCGCTGGAGAACGTGCCGTCGGCTGAGCACGACCTCGCGTATCCGCACAGGCGGTTCGCGCCGACGATCAAGAGCCATGCCGAGCTGCTGGCGGCGTCACGGGCACACTACGAGATGATGAACTCACGGCGGTCGTGCCGGTTCTTCTCCACGGCGCCTGTCCCGCGCGAGGTCATCGACAACATCGTGCTGACTGCTGGCACGGCACCGTCGGGTGCCCACATGCAGCCGTGGACCTTTGTGGTGGTCTCGGACCCGGGCGTGAAGCGGGCCATTCGTGAGGCCGCCGAGGCTGAGGAGCGGACCAACTACGACTCGCGGATGTCGGAGGAGTGGAAGCGCGACTTGGCGCCGCTTGGCACCGACTGGCAGAAGCCGTTTCTCGAGCTTGCGCCGTACCTCATTGTGGTCTTCAAGCAGACGTACGGGGCACGGCCCGATGGGACGCGGGCGACGCACTACTACTTTGAAAAGTCGGTCGGCATCGCCACAGGCATGCTCATCGGTGCCATCCACGCCGCTGGGCTCACCACTCTCACCCACACACCCACGCCGATGGGCTTTCTCTCTTTCATCCTCCAGCGCCCGCCCAACGAGAAGCCGTATCTCTTGCTCCCGGTCGGTTACCCGGCCGAGGCCGCCACCGTGCCGGACCTCAAGCGCAAGGCGCTGTCAGAGATCATGACTGTAGTGTAGCGTTCGAGCCATTTACATCGGGGGAGGAGGCAAATGCACGCGCATCAACGTAACCCTTTACGGTACGGAATAGACAACTTGTCCATCGCGCAAGCCACGCTCCGGCGACGCTCCACAAACGTCGCAACGTCCATGAAATGTGTAAAAGAGTAGCACAATGTGTTCATGGCTGCCACAACAGAAAACAGTCGGCGATGCAGGATGGACGCCGCACGCGGCACAAGAGGTCCGCCGTCGCGATCGCTTACCATGAAGCTTCCGGCCAGGGAGGCAGTCGCATCGCAGAGCGGCTTGTTGGGGAAGGTGGTGATGACAAGCAGCCGCTGCAGAAGGACGCTTTTACTTGCGCAACGGCGCGGAGCTGGCGGTGAGGGCGTCGATGACGTCGTAGAGAAAAGCCACGTGAGTCGTTGCGGGGCGTGGGCTTGCGTCGGCGTACGCGTTGATGAGCGCGGCGTCCAGAATCTAGTACAAGGATGGCGTGCCACGAACTTGCGCGGCCATGCCGACCAGCAAGCTCGTCCGTCGCAAGACGTCCTCGCGCTCTCCCGTCTGGCCGCTGTGTTCAACTCTGTCATGCTCTCCTTCCCGGTCGTCGGGGTCGTCAACGACAAGCTCCGCACCGTCCGCGCCCGCCGCTCCTCCGGGTCGGCACCGTACGGCACCTCGCACGCCTCGCCCCATGCTCCCAGGCGTCCGTGACCGCGATGGCAACTCAGGCATCCTCCAGGCGGGCGTCTACGTGTCGACCGCCATCACGTGCGGGCGCGCCTCCCACCCACCGGGAAGTCAAGCATCATCGAGTTGTTCACTTAAAGACGCGCGACAATGCGTCCGAACGACCGTACCGTCAAGGGTTAATGGCCGACGGGGAGGAGGCCGATGTTGGCGCACTGCTTGAATGAGCCGAACGAGACAATGTACTCGGTGCGAATGACGATCGGCGTCGGGTGCGTCACCGTCGGCGCGGTGATCTCGGCCGTGTAAACCGTCAGCGACGACGTGTTCGTGTCCTTGATGAAGGCCAGCGAGTGGAAGTCCGAGCTGTCGTCCTCGGCGTACGAGATCTGGAACCCGCCCTGCGGGTACTTGGCATCGTAGTGGTTGAGGTTCTTCTGGAACACAATCGTGTGCTTCTGGCCAGACATCAGCCACACCTCGGGATCAGTCGGCTTTGCCCCGCCGCACGGGCCGGTCATCAGGCCACACGCGTCGGCATGCGGGGCGTTGACGCCCTCCAGTGCCGTCCTATCGTCCGTAGTGCACCATCACGATCACCACATCATATCATCCAAGCCAAGAAATAAGTCGCACTCTCCAAAAAGTCACGTGCACGGCATCCCCCTGAAAAAAACCCCCTTTCCCTCCCTCGTGCGACTCTCTCCGCCTTTTCTTCTTTGTTGCCCCCTTCCCCCCCCCCTCCCCCCCCCCTCCCCCCCTCCCCCTTCCCTCCTCCGTCAGCCACCACCACCGCCACCACCACCACCTACCGCTGTGCAGGGTTGAACATGCACACGTGGGCCAGGGAGACAGCCATGAGGCAGGAAAAGACAGCAATGATCACAGCAAGCTTCATGTTGGACGAGTGTAGAGTGCGGTGTGGCCTGTCTGTCGCTGTCGGGTGGCTGTCGGGTGGCTGTCGATGTCGATGGCTGGCCGGGAGCCCATTGATCGATAGCCAGCGATTGCATTTGGGTTGGCAGCCAGCCATCGGCGACCAGTCAGCCATCGCCTGTTCATCGCAAGTCAGCCATCGCCTGCTCATCGCCATCGGCAGCCAGCCAGCCATCGCCTGCTCATCGCCAGTCAGCCATCGCCTGTTCATCGCAAGTCAGCCATCGCCTGCTCATCGGCAGCCAGCCAGCCATCGCCTGCTCATCGCCAGCCAGCCAGCCATCGCCTGCTCATCGGCAGCCAGCCAGCCATCGCCTGCTCATCGCCAGCCAGCCATCCCTGTGTGGTCGGCAGCCAGCCATCCCTGCCTTGTGCATGTCTAGCTTGCTCTCGGTGGTGCGGCGGTGGGTGTGGTCGGCAGCCAGGACATGTCGGTCGGCGAATGAAACCCCGTCTGGGCGCAGAGCCACCGCACTCGCTCCTCCCTCCCCCCTCGACCACTGCCATGGCCGACAGCGGCCAGCCTGCGGAGCCACCGGTGGTGCTGGGTGCAGAGGGCGAAGGCCCTGTCCCAGAGCCCTGGGTCCGGCTCAACGTGGGTGGCACGCTCTTCACCACCACCCGGGCCACCCTCGGCCTGTGCCCCGACTCGGTCCTCGCCGCCATGTTCCCGCTCTCCGGCCCGCCCTCGCTCCCCATCGCCCGTGCTGCCGATGGCGCCTACCTGCTTGATCGCGAGCCGGCCTACTTTGGCCCGCTTCTCTCCTACCTTCGCTCAGGCGCCGTCTTTATCGATGCCGGCATCGCCGCCACGGGCGTACTCCACGAGGCCCGCGCCTTTGGCATCACCCCGCTCGTCGCCCTGCTCGATGCCCAGCTCGCTGATGAGGCCCAGCCCAAGCTCGCTCCGGCCCTCTACCTGGTCGTCCGCTGTGTCACCCTGTATCAGGCTGGTCGTGCCCGGACAAACATCGCCTACATGGGCCCACTCTCCCGCCGCAAGCGAGAGCGCCTCGAAGGCGTTTCGCTCTCGCCTGCGCTCAACATGCTTGCCTCCTGGGGCTGGCGGCTCGTCACTTCGTGCGGCAAGGGCGGCGATCATGAGAAGTTTATCTTCTCCAAAACCCCCAAGTCGCTCCGCTCCGCCCGCCGTTACATCGATACCATCCTCTCGCCCTCGGTCCGCCACGACCCGATGACTGCTCTCCGTTCAGAGTTTGATCCGCCGGTCGACTCGGACACCGAGGCCGATACCCAGCCCGACTTTGGCTCTGCATCGCTTTCCTCCTCTGCCGACTCGTCGTCGGCTGAGCCCGACATGCCCGATCCTGAGCTCGACGCCACGGACCCGGCCGCCTCAGACCCAGCCGCCGGCATCGCCGTGACTGCCTCGACCCATGCGCTGGACGGTGGCGCCGGCGCAGCTGAGCACGCGCTGCACCGTGCTGTCCAGCGCGCGCGCCGTGCCCGTCGTAAGCGTGACTCGACGGCCCTCGTCTATCCGGTCGAGGAGCTCTTCCGCGCCGACGACGAGTGGATCTCGCTTAATGTCGGTGGCAGGATCTTCTGCACCACACTGCGGACTCTCCGCGACCGTGCTCCGGCCTCGATGCTTGCGCACATGTTCCGTCCGCTCACCGAAGGTGACGAGCCGGCCTCGCCTAGTGCCCCGGCCTCGTTTGCCTGGCACTCGGCCCGCGACGCCCACGGCAACTATCTACTCGACCGCGACCCACGCTACTTTGGCCCCATCCTCCACTACCTCCGGACCGGCAACCTAGTTGTCGACCCGGGCGTATCGCTCGAGGGCATCCGCGCCGAGGCGCTCTTCTTCCAGATTGCCCCACTCATCACCGCTGTCGAGCAGCGCCTCAACGCTCCCGACGAGGCACCGCTCTTCCAGTACCTCATCGTCCGCTCGGTGACCCTCTACTACGCCTCGCGCGCCCAGGTCAAGGTCACGATCCGCGGGCCGTACAACCGCTTTCGCGACACAGACCTTGAGAACCTCTCACTTGCCCAGATCTTCAACATCGTCGCCGCTGATGGCTGGCGACTGCAGTCGGCCTCAGGCAAGGGAGGCGACCACGAGAAGTTTGTCTTTGAGCGCCCGTTCTCAGACGCAAACCACCCTTCGGTTCTCGAGCCACTCCTTCCGCGCAATGCATCGACCCTAGATCCCGCAGGGCCTACCCCCGCTGCAGCTGCATCCGCCGCCGCCGCCGCCGCTCTCAATCCGCGAGGCGCCACCGCCATCCCTGTAGGCGCCGGCGCCGCCATCGCCGCCACCACTGCCGCCGCCGCTGCTGCTGCTGCCGCCACCGCTGCGCTGCGTTCACCCGCCGCCACCACCACCACCACCACGACCACCACCGCAGCCGCCTCCTCCTCCTCCACCCGCCACCGCACCTCATCCTCATCCTCGTCGTCCTCGTCCGACTCGTTCTAGCGCCTTGCTCCTTGCTCGGCCGTGATGATGACCGTGGCCGCACCAATGAATGTGCTCCCCGACTTCAGCCGCCTGCCCGGCGTCAGTCACCCAACATCAACCACCACCATGCCACCCACGAGCCACGCATCGATCGTGCCCCGCGTGCCAGACTGGCTGTCGTTCTGCTCCCGCTGCGCCGACTGCCTGACTCGGCTCCTCCCTCGCAGCCACCGGCACCTCCCTCCCCCCCCCCCTTCCCCCCCTCCCCCTGACCTGTATCCACACTATGCCATGACGACAGCCGCCTTTCTCGCCTCTGTCCTTGTCCTCGACCTCGCCTTTGTCCTCACCACCACCGCCACCGCCACTCCCTCCTCCACCCAGCTCGACCTTGTTGTGGTCGGCCTCGGCCCGTCAGGCTTGACTGCCATGGCCACCGCCGCCGCCGGCCGCATCCCGGTCCTCCGCCCTCTGCAGCATCTGCATCCGGCAGGTTCTGCCCTAGCCGACGCTCTGCCGCTACCGCTGGTCCATGCCCTCGCTCTGGCTTCCGACGCCGGGCTGGCGAGGCTTGACGGCCGATCCGATGCCCCCGCTGCGCTCCTGGTCGATGCCCACGCTGCGCCGCGGGCTGACGATCCCCATCACTCTGGCTACGGCCTTGCAGAGTCAGCGCTGGACATGGTGTCCTCCGACGTCGCTACCGCGCTGAACGTGCTGGCGGTCGGCGATGCTCCGCCAGGAGGATCCTGGCACGCTATGGCCGCGCACATGGCCACCCTCTCGCCTGGCGAATGGATGGCCTTGCCAGGCATGCCGTTCTGGCCATGGCTCCTCTGCTCGACGCCGGACGCTCTGTTTAACGCAGTCCTTCTGCCTCATCACGCCGATGCTGAGCATGAACTCCGGGCCGAGCTGGCCGCCGTCACGCCGCAGCTCTGTGCGCCGAAAACCTGTCTTCGACAGCGTGGCTGCGATCGCTCGATGACGCCACTCTCCTCCGCGAAGCCCTGGCTTTTGCCCGTCCGCGCCGCCAACTTGTTGTCGACTACTATGCAGCGTACCCCGCGGCCATGGCTCTGCCACCAGACACGATCAAGCATGGCTACCGTGTCGTTGCCGTGGACCTTGCGCCGGATGGAGCTGGCTTTGATCTCGTTGCGCTGCGGTGCGATGCGCCCGGCCCGCATGCCCCGCTCCGGCTCTCAGCCCGTGCTGTAGTCCTTGCCCTCGGTATGTACGGCAAGCCGAAGATGCTAGGCGTGCCCGGCGAGGACCTGCCGCTGGTTCACCACCGGACGGCGGCAGTGGACGACCTGGATCCTGACCTTGCCGCCACCGTGGTGATTGTGGGTGACGGTCTCTCGGCCGCCGATGCGCTTGCTGCGCTGCTCGGCGACGGCTACTCTTGTCGTGTCGTTCATCTGTTCCGAAGAGACACTGATGGCGAGCTTAGCCTCGACTCGTATCGCGGCGCCGATGACGAGTATCCTGAGTACGCACGCGTTCTTGAGCTCATGGAAGGCACGGCGACCCACACTCGGTATTCAGGGATGGAAGGGAAGGCTATAGCACGCATCACGTCAGCAGGGCAGGTAGTGCTGAGCGACGGCTCTATCCTTGTTGACGTCAGTGCTGTTCTTGTTCTCATCGGCTCGACGCCCGATCTCGGTCTGTTGTCACCATCGCTGTTGGAGCGACTTGGCATCGGGGCGCCTGACTCGCAAGATGTGCTCCGCAAGCCGCTGGCGGTCCATCCGCGGACCTTTGAGGTCCGCGCCGTACCTAGCCTCTATGCTGTGGGCCCGCTCGCCGGCGAAAACTTTGTCCGCTTCAATGTGGGCACCGCCCTCGCTGCCGCCTACACGGCGGTGCTCCGGGCGCTGGCAGCTACGCAGCACGCGGTAGCCGTTTGATTCAAAAGTACGAGTACGATGTGGCGATGTGGCGCTGCGACGCAACCTGCGGGCGAGGCACAGTAGGTGAGCGGCTTGGCCTGTGCGACGAGGCGCAGTCACCCATCGGCATGCAGACAGCCGCCGGCACGGGTCCTGCTTCCCGCGGCGAAACCGCTGGCTGCGCCACCTCCGCCTCCAACAGCGCCTTTTTCTTGGCCAGCCTACGGGAGCGCGCCTTGAGCGATGTTCGCAGCTTTTTGATCCTCTCGAGACGGGCACGGACCGGTCCGATCGGCGAATTTGCCTCGCGCTCGGCGTTGGCGTTGGATTGGCGGGTGTGGGCCGAGTCAAGAAAAGCGCGGTAGGCGCGCGTCGCTGCCTCCAACCGGTTCTTGGCATCAGCAGTGGTAGCTTCCACATCTGCGCGCTGCGCTGCCAGCTCCTCAGCCTCGGCACGCGCCACTGCCGCACCTGCAGTGGCAGCCGCCACCCTGTCCCGCGCCGACGTCTCCTCGGCCTTGAGCTGGGCGAGCGAGATCCAGCGCTCGTCGCCGTCCCCAGCATTTGGAACGCAGACGAGGCCGTCTTTGATCCGCATGCAAAGTGGATGATTGGCCATGCGGGCAAGGACGACACCGCGGCGATCGGCAAGGTCCTTGCCCAGTCCGGCCAGCTCGGCTTCGGCTGCCTCTGCCGCGGCTTCGGCAGTGTCGGCGGTAGCATCGAGACGGGCGGCGAGGTCGGCGGCGGCGGCGGCGCTTGATGCGGCAGCAATGCGGATGGCAAGAAGGTGCTCGAGGCTATCTGTTCCGGACCGCCGCATTTGCTTCAGCCTGTGCAGCCGCTGAAGGTCGTCCTGATGGCTCCTGTGGCGCAGGACGAGCGTGAGTGTGGCCCCCACAATGCGACCTTTTTTTCGCCGCGGTGGCGAGGCTGTGGCATGACCTGACGACCTTTTTCTGCACCGCGGGAGACGTACCGCTGGGCAAGCCGCAGAGCAGTGGTCACTTCCTGCAGATCAGCTTCAATGCGGTGGACATGGGCTAGAAGCTGATCGGCGTTCATGGGTCGAAAAGAGGGGCGGCCGGTCTGGCGACAAGTGCCGAGGAGAGGAGGGAGCGGTGTGGTGGTCGAGGCATACGCTGAGCCATCAGCCGAGCAGCAGATGGCGTGACGGGCTCATCACCCTTATCGGTACGGTCGTTCGGACGCGTTGTCGCGCGTCTTCAAGTGAACAGCTCGATGATGCTTGACTTCCCGGTGGGAGGCGCGCCCGTACGTGATGGCGACCGACACGTAGACGCCCGCCTGGGGGATGCCCGAGTTGCCATCGCGGTCACGGACGCCTGGAAGCATGGGGCGAGGCGTGCGAGGTGCCGTACGGTGCCGATCCGGAGGAGCGGCGGGCACGGACGGTGCGGAGCTTGTCGTTGACGACCCCGACGACAGGGAAGGAGAGCATGACAGAGTTGAACACAGCGGCCAGACGGGAGAGCGCGAGGACGTCTTGCGACGGACGAGCTTGCTGGTCGGCATGGCCGCGCAAGTGGTGGCACGCCATTCTTGTACTGGATTCTGGACCCCGCGCTCATCAACGCGTACGCGCTCTACGCTGCCGTGAGCCCACGCCCCGCAATGACTCGCGCGGCTTTTGTCTACGACATCATCGACGCCCCCGCCGCCAGCGCCGACGCTGTCAGCTCGCGCCCTCGCCGCCGGCGCCGACGCCGTCAGCTCCGCGCTGTCGCGCAAGTGGAAGCGTCCCTCTGGAGCGGCTGCTCGTCATCATCATCACATTCCCCAACAAGCCGCTCTGCGATGCGACTGCCTCGCCTGCCGGAAGCTTCATGGTAAGCGATCGCGGCCGCGGACCTTTTGTGCCGCGTGCGGCGTCCATCCTGCATCGCCGACTGTTTTCTGTTGTGGCAGCCATGAACACATTGTGCTACTCTTTTACAACAATCCATGGACGTTGCGACGTCTGTGGAGCGTCGCGGAGCGCGGCTTGCGCGATGGGAAAAAACTGTCCATTCCGTACTGGAAAGGATTAAACGAGGGCGGCAAAGGCGGAGCGCTGGCGCTCGAGGCGGAGCTCGCGATCGCGGGCAAAGCGGACAACGCCGGCGTAGATAGACTCGGTGTCGAGCTTGGCCTCGGCGATGACATCAGGCTCGAGGCCGCCGGTGCGCCAGCGGTCGTCGTGGTCAGTGGCAAGGGTGTACTCGGTGGTGAGCGGGCCGAGGTTGCGGAGCGGGAAGATGGTCTTGGTCATGGTGGTCACGACCATGCAATCGTAGTGAGCGGCGAGCGGCATGACCTTGTTGCGGTACTCCTCCGACTGGATGTCGAAAAGCTCCTGCGAGACGACCGAGACGATGCGGACGTTGATGCCTTCAGCCTCGAGACGCGGGATGAGCGAGACCAGGTTGACAGTTGAGGAGCAGCCCTGAACGAGGACGGTGCCCATGGGAGGCTCGTTGTCCGAGTACTCGCGAATGACGTATGCGCCCTTGGCGGCAGCGCGCGGGTCGGAGTCGGCAAAAGCGGAGCGGTCGGCGACGGCGAGGTCGGGGCGGGCGACGTGGACGGCAATGATCGAGGTGTTCTTGTTGGTGAGCGCCATGTTGAGGGCGGCAAAGTAACCCGGGCAGACGTCGTTGTAGTCCCAGAAGTACAGGTTAACGATGTGGCCGTTGGGGAAGAGGCGCCAGCACTGGGGGGCGTAGACACCAAAGTGCGAGCGGGCGTCGGCAGCGGTCTCGGGGCCCGAGTGGCCGGCGATGACGGTGACGGTGCCGAGCGCAAACGGCGAGTCCTGGTTCTGCTGCGAGAAGATGCGAAGCGGGAGGTAGAATAGCGGAGTAAACGCACCGTAGGTGCCAGTGGCGGCGTGGAACCCGTTGTGGACCGCCGGGTCAGCCGAGAGCGTCTGCGACGCAATGCCAGCCGCTGTGCACGCGTTGCCGGCCTCCTGAATGGCGGCCTTAAGGCGCGTGCCGGCCACGTTGGTCACCGGCGAGTAGTGGCCGGTCCAGTTGGAGTTCTCCAGATTGATCGAGTTCGAGAGGTCTGCGGCAATGGTCATGTACCGGTTGCCAGTCACGTAGTTGATCCACTTGCCAAACTCGGAGATGGCACGGCGGGTGCCCTTCTTGGTTCCGGCCGGTAGCGACATGCGGATGGTCTCAGTCATCTCCTCACCGGTCACCGGGTGGACCATGGTGAGCTCAACGGGCTCAAGCGGAATGTTGTCCACAAGGAGGCGCTCGTCGAGGAACGGGTCGGCCGCCGCCGGTGCCAGCCGAAGCGTCGTCTCGAACGACGCGGTGGCGGCTTCCCAGTCCGAGGCGATGCGGACGAGGCGCTGCGCGATCCACTTGCGAATGGCGCCGTCGTTGGCGTCGAGGACCGAGAGGCAGACGTCGATGTTGGTCTTGAACTGCCGGAGGCGCTCGGCCTCGGTGGCCGGCGGCGCGTCACGGATGCCGACAAACTCGACGCCAAACTTGGCCTCGAACGACTCGGCAAGCGCCACAAAGTACTCCGAGTTCATCTTCATCGAGTACGGGTGAGACGGATACGAGACAATCTGCTCAGTCGAGCCAACCTTGCCGTCCTTGGCTGCCGGCCACCAGCCCTTCACCGTGTGGGCAATGACAACCATCGGGCGGCGGTCCGCAGGGTCCGACTCCTCCATGGCCTTAAACGTGGCCAGCAGGTCGGCGTACGACGAGCCGTCGACAAGCTCGACCACGTTCCAGCCGTACGAGGTAAACTGCTCCACGATGTTGTACGAGTCGGCGTACTCGCTCGGCACCACGCCACCCACCAGTGCGTCGTCGATGCCGGCGTTGTTGTACGAGAAGAAGAAGCGGAGACGCTTGCCGACCTGCTGCGCAAGCGCAATCGTCTTGAGCTCCTGGGCGTGGCCCTCGGTAAAGGCAAACTCACCTTCGAGCGCCCAGATCTTGAGCGAGTCCGGCGCGCCGGCCGCGTCCCAGAACAGTGCCTTACCCGCGGTCGTCGCCGCGCCCACGCCTGATGGTCCGCCGTTGACGTCGTTGGTCACGTCGGTCGTCTCCGAGTGGCCCATGAGCGCGCGGATCCCGCGGATCTTGGCCTGCTCAAACAGCGGCTCGTCTGCCACACCAGCATCCTCCAGCAGAGTCTTGACCGCGTCCGGCGACCGCCGGAAGCCGAGCGCGTCGATGGCGTACATGCCGATCTCCGGATCGACCTTGTACGTGTCGTCACCCGTCGCAGCATGCTCGCGTGCCATCGACTCGTACAGAATCATCCACAGCGAGTAGCACGTCGGGATGCAGTGCCCGCCGGTGAGCATGAACTTGTCGGAGAACGGATGCTTCGGGTTGCGGATGTCATACCCGAGCGCACCGTTCGACGGCAGGCCAAGATGCAGCGCCACGTTGGCTGGCGTGTACGACATCGGCCCTCCAAAGTGGCCCGTCTGTGCATAGTTGCCCATCACCACCATGTTCATTGCAGTGATGAACCCAACGTCCGCAAACATCTGCTCATCAAAGTCCACAAGGCTATTCCCCCGTCCCCCCCCGCAGTATACCCCACCGATGTCCGTGGTGAGTAAGGCCATGTGACCCATGCCACCGCCACGCCATCACGCCCTCCACGCTCTCCTTCCGCCTCCACCACCGCCACCGCACATGTCCACGACCCCCCCCCCCCCCTCCCCTCATCCCCCATGCTCTCCTCCCCTCCCCTCCCCTGCTTCCACCCATCTTCACCTCCCTCCTCCCTCCCCTTCCCCCCCCCCCCCCCCTGCGCTTCACGCGTGTTCGTGTTCGTACTTGGAGGCCGACATGGTTATTCTGTTCTCAAGAAAGTTGAATGGAGAGGGGTGGCTGTTCGATGGATAGGTCGCGGGGAACGTTATAGTTTTACTTTGTAGTCGTAGTCGTTGTCGTTGCTGCCTTTGTAGTCTGCGTCATGGTGGATTGTGCGATAGACAACATGCCAGGGTGGTACATATCGACTCGCGTGCTCTTGATCAAAAGACTGCGATTGTCACCCGGATGTCGTTGGCGTTGTCCGCGTGTGGGTGACGTGCCCGCCTATCGGTCAGCGACCCCCCCGACAATCACAAGCGACCATCGCCATCAAAGGAGTCGATCATACCAGCCCCTGGCCTACTCTATCCACGTACGCGTAGTGAGCCAGTCCCCCTTGCGCGGGTCGGCCATGCATCTCATCACTTGCGTGATGTGCCTCCCACCCACCCCAGTCGATCCCTTGTGCGATCACGTACAGATCGCACAACACCGTCAACTGGGCCGTGGTTTTTACGGTCACTGGTGGTAGGTAACCCGCCGACTGATGCGAGAAAAACCAGACCAACCTCAAAGCCCACTACCCAGCAATCTGCAATCGAAAGCCCGTTGCTCTTTACACCCTCTGCAACCCCGAGACGAGTGCTTTGGGGGAGAATGGGAGGGGGGGTGGGGGGTGACACGCAGCGAACAATTTGTTTTGGACCTGCGAAGCACTGCCACTGTGCACGCGTGACCGACCAACCATCTCTTCCGTCAGGGAGTGGGAGCGACGGAGAGCTGACGTACGGTGTCTATCTTGTCTCTACTGGTTTCATTGTCTGATATCTGTGTGGCTATATTGACTGCCATGTTTAGTTGCTCGCAAGAAAGGCTTGTGTGCGTGTTGGTGGCGGTGTTGTGCTTGGCTGGCTCTGTCAGGGGCGCCACGGTTGCCGTGCCGAACGATGGCCAGTTTCCGTCGATTCTTGCAACGATTGCAGCGGCGGCGCATGGCGATACGGTATTGATTCCTGCCGGGACATGGACCAACTGTACAGCGCCCATCAATGGTCGTGGTGTAGGCATTTCTCTGTCGATTGTGGGAGCTGGTGTCGCGAGCACCATCATCGACTGTGGCTTTCCTGACCGGCCTATTATGAAGTTGACGCCAAAGGCCGATGGGTGGAACGTGACCGATCTGACGATGACCCGCGGCGGCTCACTGACGGCATCGTACCAGCTTGGCGGATGCGTGTATGCGCTCAGCGGATCTGTAGTCTCTTTTGAGCGGGTCCACTTTGTCGACTGCCAGCTCGATGGTATAGCTCTACCCAAGTACATGGGCGGTGCACTGGCGACGACTGGCGTGGGGACTTCGGTGGAGATGGTAGACGTGGAGATGCGCGGGTGCCGTGCTGGTGGCGTTGCCAACGGCGAGGGTGGGGCGCTGTCGATCGGCCAGGACACAACGCTAACGGCTGGCGGCATCAAGATCACCAACTCGAGTTCTGGCGGGACCGGCGGCGGACTGTGGTCGAACGCGGCGACGGTCAACATTGTCGGTGCTGGTGCTGTTGTCGCCAATTGCTCGGCCGCCCTCAACGGTGGTGGCCTAAGGATTCAGTGGACGTCCACGTGGGCAGTGTCTGCGCCACTCACTGTGTCTGGAAACATCGCTGGCGCGCTGGGTGGTGGCATCTCGCTTTCCGGCCTTGCTTGCGCTGGCTCGCTGGCCGGCGCTATTGTCACTGGCAACACTGCGGGAGAGTGCGGCGGCGGCATCCATTGGACCGTCAAAGCGCCAATGACTCTGGTCAACGGTGTTGTGAGCGGCAACCGCGCAGCCAACGGGTCTGGGATCTGCTTCCACGACTTTCGCCCGTCGACAGGCGTCCGAATTATCGACTCGGTTGTCTCGGGCAACGAAGCATCGGGCTATGGTGGTGGAGTCTACTTTGGCATGGGTGTCGGATCACCAGGTCTGCAACGAGTTTGGTCGTGGGCAACACAGCGATGCAAGGATCAGGTGTATTTGTCGGTCGCGATATGAGCCCATCGATTCTGGCATGCAACATTAGCCGCAACTTGGCGCCGACTGGGGCCGGGTTTGCGATTGCAGACGGTGCGCCGGGCACTGTGGACACAGCAGGAACCCGCAGCTGCGGCAACTTTGGCGCGCTGGCACACGGTGTGGATGTGTGGTGTGGCGGGGCGTCGCGGATGATCAACCCCATTGTGGGCGGATGCACGCCAGGAGCGTACTGCCGTCGTAGCGACGGCGCTTGCCCGCTGAGTGGCAGCACGTGCATGTCTGCGTGCCCGGGTGGATGGGATGGGCCGCGGTGCACGGTGAAGACCAACTGCGCGAGCGATCCAGGTGAGGGAGTGTGCACAAGCTGTGATCCCGGATTTGACGTCGTGACGAGTTTGGATGCGCGATACGGGACGTGTGTGGTGGCTGCTAGTCCGCCGCCATCGCCACCGTTCCCGGCGCCGCCGCCATTCCCATCCCCGCCGCCGCCGATGCGGGCCAAAGAGCCACAGCCGGTGGTGTGGACGCTCAGTCCGTCGGTCTCGCCATACGCGGGTGGGATCAGGATGCGGCTGAAGCGGACGCGCGCCACGCCCGAGGTGCCAGACTTTGTTGCGAGCGGGACGTACTCGCTTGACATGCCTGTGTATCAATCGCCGGACGAGGCGTATCCGGCGCAGACGGTGTTAATTCCGTGCACGGTGGTGGACGCCAGGACGCTCGAGTTTGTGTCTGTGGAGTCGAACCACACTGGATACCACGAACTCAAGCTTGCGGTGGGCGGAAGTGCGAGCAGGGTGCGGCTGACGTCGCTGATCACGTACGTAGAGCACCAGTGCTTCGACGAGGGCACGGTGTGGTACGGGCAGCGGTGCCAAGACTGCTCCAAGTTCAAGGGCGCGTTCTGTCCCGGCGGGACGCGGTTTTGGCCGCGGGCCGGGTACTGGTCGGCAGATGAGGCGCAGCCGCCGACACAGTGTCGGCTGAAGGCGGCGTGTCCGGGTGCAATGGGTGACAACAACGTGTATCCTGCGCGTGTGGACGAGGGCGGACGGCGGCTGACGACACAGTGCTCAAGCGGGTATGCGGACGCGTTCTGCTCGACGTGCAAGGTGGGATACTACCAAGAGTACGGAGTGTGCCGTGCGTGCGGGTCTAGCGCGTCTGTGGAGACTGAGATGGCGCTGATGCTTGTTGTTGCGGGCGGGTATTTTGTTGTTGTGCTTGTGGGGCTGTTCTGGCTCTCGCCGCGGTCGCTGGTGGGAGTTGTGGCTGTTGTGCTCGCGGTGCAGCAGATGGTGATTGTGGCCAAGGTCGCACTGCAGCAAGTGGCGGAGAGCACGAAGAGCGAGGTTGTGCCGACGATTGTGCGTGTGCTGTCTATTCTCAACTTTGAGATCCAGGTTGTGAAGCCAGGATGCGCGATTTCGGCCATGTCGTTTGTGTCGCTGTACTTTGGGACGCTGCTTGTTGTGTGCGCGGCGGGGATCGGGTTCCTTGTTGTGGTTTGGCTGCGGACGCGGGTGTGTGGGTCTGGGTCGCAGCTGCAGCTGGCGAGGCAGGCGCCTGTGTCGCAGTCTGTACTCGACCTTGTGGAGGCCGAGCGACGTGGGGCCGGGCGGCATGGTCCGCGTGCGGAGCGCAACTCGATATCGATTGTGTCGGAGCGGCTGACAGCGATCGACACGGCGTCGACTCGGTCGGACTCGACGGTGAGCAGCGGATCGCTTGTGTCTGCGCTGTACGTGCGGTCACGGCTGAAGCACTCGCTGGTGATTCTGGGCGCGCTGGCATACCTGCAGATTGCACTGCGGAGCGTACAGGCACTGCACTGCGTGCGCGCCGGTGACGGCGAGCTGCGGCTCAAGGTGGAGCTGCGAGTGGTGTGTTACAGCGGGGCACATATGCAAGCAGCGGTTGTGGCATGGGGCGTGATGGCTGGCTACTGCGTGGGGTTCCCTGTGTGGATCGGAGTGACGGGGGTGCAGACGCTGCGCAAGGTGAAGGGCCTGCATGCCGCGGTGATTGATCTTGCGCTGCAGTCGTACGGGCTTTTGCTGCGCGGGCTCAAGCCGACGTACTTTTGGTTCCGTGCTGTGCAGGTTGCGGCGACGCTGTCGTTCATTGCGGAGACTGTGACTATTGCAGAGGATGGGATGCGGATGTTTGCGTGTGCGATGAACTTTGTGGGCGTGACGGCGATTGTTGTTGTGCTCAACCCGTTTGTAGGGTGGCTCCACACGTGGCTGGCGGTGGGGACGGGAGTGGCAGGAACGGGGCAACTGCTGTACTTTCTGTTTGCGGAGAACAGTGGGCTGTTTGCGGTCGGCGCGATTGTGAGCGGGGCCGTATTTGCTGTGCTTGCCGGGATCGGGCTGTGGCGTCGGCGTCGGGAGCGTGGCAAGGGCGAGCGGATGATCGCGCCGGCTCGTGGAGGAGATGGGACCGAGTCCCCACTGGTGCTGGCGTCGCTGCCGTCGCAACTTGGCGTTGTGGATGAGGAATCACCTGCGACGTCAGACACTGACGACGTGGAGGTGCTTGATGCGTCGTTGGCGTCGTCGTCGTCGTCGTCGTCGTTGGGCTCGACTGTGAACCTTGTGATCACATCGGCAAACGTGTCGCGTGCTGACAACGTCGCGGTTGGCCTGGGTACGACGTCTGAGTCGCAGTCGCGGTCGGGTGACCATGGAATGGGAAGCAAGACGATGTCGTTCGAGCGGCTTCCAGCGAGACGGCGGACAGCAACCGGACGGAGTCGACTTCGTACCACGACGCCTCGCAAGTATCGCAAGCGTGGGTGAGAGTGGGCTTGACAGACCCGACGTTGGCCAGCCCACCTTTCTCCTCGCGAGGTCTAAAAATTGTTGTGGTCACCACAGCTGTCAATTTCAGTGCGCGTGCGCGCTTCGGACCTTTTCGAGCTACACCACTCTGCTGAGACTACTCTTGTCACACAGAGCGTCTGTGCGGAACAAGGCCGTAGCGACTCACCACAAACAGATTGTTTGTATACCTCTGTACACCATGCGATGGCCATGGATGGGGTTGCTGCTTGCCTCCGTCCTCGTCCTCCGCACCACGCACGTGGCGTCGGCCGCCACGGTTGTGGTGCCGGCCGACGGGCAGTTCAGCTCGATCCTTGCAGCGGTGGCCGGAGCTGCCAATGGCGACACAGTGTCGATTCCTGCAGGGACATGGACCAATTGCACAACATGGCTGCAAGGTCGTGGAGGCGGTGTGAGCTTGACCCTTGCCGGCGCCGGTGCTGGGAGCACGGTCATTGACTGCGGGTTCCCGGACATGCCCATTATGACGTTTGCGCCCATGGCCGACGGGTGGAACGTGACCGACCTAACGCTGCGGCGCGGCGGATCGCTGGCGGCGACATACTCGTCAGGCGGATGTGTGCACGCGATGAGTGCATCTGTGGTGACCTTTGAACGAGTTCATTTCGAGGACTGTGTGCTCGATGGTGGGCTTGCCAGTTACCAGGGCGGGGCGATGATGACGAACGGAGCAGGCGGGGTGGTGACGCTCAACGATGTGGTTGTGCGCAACACGAGGGCCGGCGGGAGTGCACCAGGCGAAGGCGGAGGGATTGCTGTGGGGCAGGACACGACGCTTGTGGCGAACGGGTTGCGGGTAGAGGGCTGCAGTGCTAGTGATGCCGGCGGCGGGATCTGGGCGAATGCTGCGACGGTGAATGTGATTGGAGCCGGGCTGACGCTTGTGGGCAACACGGCGGCAAAGGTTGGTGGCGGCATGGTGATCAAATGGACGACGACGGTGTCTGTGACTGCGGCGCTCAATGTGACTAGCAACAGCGCTGGTGAGTACGGCGGTGGAGTGTGGCTGACCGCACCCGGGAGCACTGGCACACTTGGAGCAGCGAGTGTGACAGGCAACACAGCTGGAGTGTGCGGAGGTGGGCTGGCGTGGACGAAGCGAAGTCCTGTGCTACTGGATGGCGGAGTCGTGAGCGGTAACCAGGCAGTCAACGGGTCTGGGATCTGTTTTTATGACATGGTAACAACGGCTGGAGTCCGCGCGGTGGACTCTGTTGTGTCGGACAACGTGGCGACGGGTTACGGCGGTGGTGTGTACTTTGGAGGCAGTGGGATTGCAACGATTGAGCGCGTTGCGGTCGTGGACAACACAGCGATGATGCAAGGATCAGGTGTATTTGTCGGTCGCGATATGAGCCCATCGATTCTGGCATGCAACATTAGCCGCAACTTGGCGCCGACTGGGGCCGGGTTTGCGATTGCAGACGGTGCGCCGGGCACTGTGGACACAGCAGGAACCCGCAGCTGCGGCAACTTTGGCGCGCTGGCACACGGTGTGGATGTGTGGTGTGGCGGGGCGTCGCGGATGATCAACCCCATTGTGGGCGGATGCACGCCAGGAGCGTACTGCCGTCGTAGCGACGGCGCTTGCCCGCTGAGTGGCAGCACGTGCATGTCTGCGTGCCCGGGTGGATGGGATGGGCCGCGGTGCACGGTCAAGACCAACTGCGCGAGCGATCCAGGTGAGGGAGTGTGCACAAGCTGTGCGCCCGGATTTGACGTCGTGACGAGTTTGGATGCGCGATACGGGACGTGTGTGGTGGCTGCTAGTCCGCCGCCATCGCCATCGTTCCCGGCGCCGCCGCCATTCCCATCCCCGCCGCCGCCGATGCGGGCCAAAGAGCCACAGCCGGTGGTGTGGACGCTCAGTCCGTCGGTCTCGCCATACGCGGGCGGAATCAGGATGCGGCTGAAGCGGACGCGCGCCACGCCCGAGGTGCCAGACTTTGTTGTGAGCGGGACGTACTCGCTTGACATGCCTGTGTATCAATCGCCGGACGAGGCGTATCCGGCGCAGACGGTGTCAATTCCGTGCACGGTGGTGGACGCCAGGACGCTCGAGTTTGTGTCTGTGGAGTCGAACCACACCGGATACCACGAGCTCAAGCTTGCGGTGGGCGGAAGTGCGAGCAGGGTGCGGCTGACGTCGCTGATCACGTACGTAGAGCACCAGTGCTTCGACGAGGGCACGGTGTGGTACGGGCAGCGGTGCCAAGACTGCTCCAAGTTCAAGGGCGCGTTCTGTCCCGGCGGGACGCGGTTTTGGCCGCGGGCCGGGTACTGGTCGGCAGATGAGGCGCAGCCGCCGACACAGTGTCGGCTGAAGGCGGCGTGTCCGGGTGCAATGGGTGACAACAACGTGTATCCTGCGCGTGTGGACGAGGGCGGACGGCGGCTGACGACACAGTGCTCAAGCGGGTATGCGGACGCGTTCTGCTCGACGTGCAAGGTGGGATACTACCAAGAGTACGGAGTGTGCCGTGCGTGCGGGTCTAGCGCGTCTGTGGAGACGTGAGATGAATGCGCTGATGCTGTGTGCGGGCGGTATTTGTTGTGTGCTGTGGGCGTTCTGGCTCTCGCCGCGTCGCTGTGGGATTGTGGCGTTTGCTCGCGGTGCACAAAGGTGATTGGGCCAAGTCCCATGCACCAAGGGGGGGAGCAGAAGAGGGAGTTGTCCGACGATTGGGCGTGTGCTTTTTTTCTCCACTTGGAGTTCCGGGTTGTGAAGCCAGGATGCGCGATTTCGGCCATGTCGTTTGTGTCGCTGTACTTTGGGACGCTGCTTGTTGTGTGCGCGGCGGGGATCGGGTTCCTTGTTGTGGTTTGGCTGCGGACGCGGGTGTGTGGGTCTGGGTCGCAGCTGCAGCTGGCGAGGCAGGCGCCTGTGTCGCAGTCTGTACTCGACCTTGTGGAGGCCGAGCGACGTGGGGCCGGGCGGCATGGTCCGCGTGCGGAGCGCAACTCGATATCGATTGTGTCGGAGCGACTGACAGCGATCGACACGGCGTCGACTCGGTCGGACTCGACGGTGAGCGGCGGATCGCTTGTGTCTGCGCTGTACGTGCGGTCACGGCTGAAGCACTCGCTGGTGATTCTGGGCGCGCTGGCATACCTGCAGATCGCACTGCGGAGCGTACAGGCACTGCACTGCGTGCGCGCTGGTGACGGCGAGCTGCGGCTCAAGGTGGAGCTGCGAGTGGTGTGTTACAGCGGGGCACATATGCAAGCAGCGGTTGTGGCATGGGGCGTGATGGCTGGCTACTGCGTGGGGTTCCCTGTGTGGATCGGAGTGACGGGGGTGCAGACGCTGCGCAAGGTGAAGGGCCTGCATGCCGCGGTGATTGATCTTGCGCTGCAGTCGTACGGGCTTTTGCTGCGCGGGCTCAAGCCGACGTACTTTTGGTTCCGTGCTGTGCAGGTTGCGGCGACGCTGTCGTTCATTGCGGAGACTGTGACTATTGCAGAGGATGGGATGCGGATGTTTGCGTGTGCGATGAACTTTGTGGGCGTGACGGCGATTGTTGTTGTGCTCAACCCGTTTGTAGGGTGGCTCCACACGTGGCTGGCGGTGGGGACGGGAGTGGCAGGAACGGGGCAACTGCTGTACTTTCTGTTTGCGGAGAACAGTGGGCTGTTTGCGGTCGGCGCGATTGTGAGCGGGGCCGTATTTGCTGTGCTTGCCGGGATCGGGCTGTGGCGTCGGCGTCGGGAGCGTGGCAAGGGCGAGCGGATGATCGCGCCGGCTCGTGGAGGAGATGGGACCGAGTCCCCACTGGTGCTGGCGTCGCTGCCGTCGCAACTTGGCGTTGTGGATGAGGAATCACCTGCGACGTCAGACACTGACGACGTGGAGGTGCTTGATGCGTCGTTGGCGTCGTCGTCGTCGTCGTTGGGCTCGACTGTGAACCTTGTGATCACATCGGCAAACGTGTCGCGTGCTGACAACGTCGCGGTTGGCCTGGGTACGACGTCTGAGTCGCAGTCGCGGTCGGGTGACCATGGAATGGGAAGCAAGACGATGTCGTTCGAGCGGCTTCCAGCGAGACGGCGGACAGCAACCGGACGGAGTCGACTTCGCACCACGACGCCGCGGCTGCGACGAAAGTAAATGGTGAGCCAGTCACAGGAGAGAGAACAAGTCAGAGCGCGGCGGTGCGCGGTGCGATGTGGGCATGGCCAGCGGTGGCCGAGCATTGACCATGGGCGCCGAGAACGATGAAAGCGCACCGGAGGAAAAGGGAGCGTAGGTGGAGTACGAGGTGGTTGGTGGCGGATGACGGGAGAGCGAGGCAAAGGTTGATGGGCCGGTGTGTGAGCGACGAGCGGCGCCATAGGAACCCGGTGCGGGCGGCAAGCCGTGCGGGGCAAGGACAGCTTCAGTGCGTAGTGATAGCGGGGAGATGGAGAGAGTGTTGAACTTGTCATCGAGCGAAGCGAGCGGGGTTAAGACTGGTGAGGAAGCGCGCAGCGGTGACTGCGGGCGGTGGCGGGGCTTGAGACCAGACGGAGTAAGCGAGGTCGAGAGCCCGGGCGCCGTGTTGCCGACGACGACGAGGCGTATGAGAGCAGCGGCGGAGCGTCAAGTGAAATTGAGGACGACGCATAGCCAAAGGCAGGCTCTGGTCTTGCCGACGAGCGCAATGAAGGCGACGCACCGTAGGAGGACGCATCCGCTCGCGACGACGACCAGCGACCAGGCGGTGATCGGGCGAGCGAGAGGGAGGCACCGAGTTCGGGCGAGGTTTGCCGTGAAGCAAGGCTGTAGCGGGCGGTCGGCGAGGTGGCGCGGTAAGGCGAGCCATAACGGGCCGGGCCGGCGGACGCGCGAGGGTATTGCGACGACGAGAAGAGCGGCGAGGCAGCCAACGGGGCAGCTCCCGAACCGTAGTCGGGGTCGAGGATGGATTTGCGCGGCGGAAAGAGCGAAACGTAGCCCGGGGGCGTGATGCTGGCTTCGAATCGTGTACGTCAGTGTTGTTGCCGTTGCTGTTGCTGTTGTTGTCATTGGTGTCGGCGAGCTGGCGGAGAAAGTCCGCGTGCGGCTCGTCGGCGCTGCCTGCAGCGCCATCGCGTGTGTCGTCGAGCTGCGAAGCGCGGAGTTCGTCGTCAGAAGCATCATGCGCGTCCGAGTCGTACGGCCCAACACCGCCGTCAAGATCGGTGTCCGGCCCGTCAGTGTGAGCATCGGCATTGGCAGCGGCCTCGGCCTCACCCTCGGCGGCGCCGGCGAGGAGCCACTCGTCAGCCCACACATCAGCGGCCTCGTCCTCACCCTCGGCCTCTAGATTGTGGCCATAGTCAGCGGTGTCGTCTTCACCGTAGCCTGCTGCTTCGGCTTCAGCAAAGCCGGCATCCATCCAGCCGGCATCTTCGCCCTCGGCTTCTGCGGCGTCGACATCCCAGTCTTCAGCGTTGCCCTCACTCTCGGCCTCACCCTCGCCCTCACCGGTGTCAAACACCGGAGCTGGGCGTGGGGTGAGCGGGCGGCCGTCGCAGAGAAGCGATGCAACGGCGCGGGCATCACCCTTGGTGGCGCTCTCGACGAGTCCGACAACGGTGGAGCGCTTGCGATCAAAGAGCGAGACGTACTTGTCGGCGAGGCGGAGGGTGGTGGGATGTGCCCAGGGAAGAAGGCGCGGGTATGCGCTTGGCCCGCCCTTGACGAGAGCGCGGGCGAGGCCCATGGGGGGTTGATGATGTGTAGCAGAGCCTGGACGAGGTCGTTGTCGCCGACGGCATTGATGATGTCATCCTCGAGCTCTGTAGGGCCGAGCTTTGCGTACTCAAAGGCAACAGAAGCCATAAACTCTGAGCTGCGATGGCCAGCGACATCGACGAGGACGGCCTCGACCGACTTGCCGGCCTCCATGGCTGCATAGATGCGTGCGGCGTCTGCGGCCGGGACGGCGGTGTCCTCGCCAGCCATCCTATGCGGATCTAGGAGATAGGCAAGCAGATGGCCAGTCATGCCGCCCATCTCCGAGCCGACATCGTCGCGGAGAGCGTTGCCGTGCTTGGCGGCGTAGGCAGCGGGAAGATCAGCCGAGACGTGCGAGTGCGGGCGGGCAGCGAGGAGGTCGACGAGGGCAGCCTCGTCTGTGCCGAAGCCATCCATGGCCTTGTGGGCGGCATCGGCGTCGTAGACGGGCCAAGGCGTGGCCAGGGCAGCAAGCAAGGCACGGACATTGCTCGGCTGCTTGGCCTTCTCTAGCTCGCTCGCCAGCGTCCTGCCCTGGCTGACGGCGTACTGCTCGGCGACGGCGGCCCGGGCCGAGAGCGGGAGGCGGGCGAGTGGCTCAGCCACGGCCATGGCCGCCACCTTGCGCTTCTTGCCGCCGGCCACAATCGCCTGCCGCACTGTCTCTACGCACCCGTCGACAGAGGCCATTGGCTAGAGGAGATGCGAGAGGTGTGTGGGTGTGTGGGTGAATGGGGGTGTTTGAGCCCGCCTGCTGCGCTGTGGCAGGCCAACGGTCGAGCTAAAGTGGCGGGCACGGGATTAATCGTTGGCTTTGGAATACGGGATTAATCGTTGGCTTTGGGGGTACGATTAATCGTTGGCTTTGGGGGCACGGGATTAATCGTTGGCTTTGGGGGTACGATTAATCGTTGGCTTTGGGGGTACGATTAATCGTTGGCTTTGGGGGCACGGGATTAATCGTTGGCTTTGGGGGTACGGGATTAATCGTTGGCTTTGGGGGTACGGGATTAATCGTTGGCTTTGGGTGTACGGGATTAATCGTTGGCTTTGGGGGTACGGGATTAATCGTTGGCTTTGGGTGTACGGGATTAATCGTTGGCTTTGGGTGTACGGGATTAATCGTTGGCTTTGGGTGTACGGGATTAATCGTTGGCTTTGGGTGGCATTCATTCGCTCGTTGGTCGTTGCTCTTTGGCCGCCGGTCGCCGGTTCACTGTCGGCGGTCAGTCAGTCACACCTCACTTCGATCCAATCATGGCCTCGACGAACCAGAAGCTTTCCATGCGCGGCGTGCTTGCCGGTCACGGCGGCTGGGTGACGTCCATTGCGACGACGCCCGAGTCGAACGACATGATCCTCACCGGATCCCGCGACAAGTCCGTCATCGTGTGGGACCTTGTCCGCGAGGAGGGCCAGTACGGCCTTGCCAAGCGTGCCCTTACCGGCCACGACCACTTCATCGAGGACGTCGTGATTTCGTGCGACACCCAGTTCGCCCTCTCGTGCTCGTGGGACAAGACCCTGCGCCTTTGGGACCTTGCTGACGGCTCGACCGCCCGCCGCTTCATTGACCACGACAAGGACGTCCTCTCCGTCGCCTTCTCCGCCGACAACCGCCAGATTGTCTCGGCTGGCCGCGACAAGTCGATCAAGCTGTGGAACACCCTCGGCCAGTGCAAGTGTACGTCGCTGTCTGTCCGCCGCCTCCGGCCTCCGCCTGCTGCCTCCCACACTGCCTCCTCGGGCCTACCACCCCCCGCCTTGGCGCCCACGCCCCTGCCGCCTCTACCCGCCCTCCCGGCCCCCGTTCTCCCCTCTCCCATGCCCCTCCTGTACCCCCCTCGCCTGCCGGCCAAAGGCCCTCGCTCCGCGGATGGCCACATTTTCGCTCATTTTGCGGTTTTTGTATGACTCGGCCGCCAGGCCCTCGCCTTGCCGCCGCCCCTCCTGCTGCCCTGCCGCCTCTGCCGCCACACTCTCGCCCGCCATCTCTTGTGCACGGCCTGGGTGGCCCTCCTTCCCCCTGCCCCCCCCCTCTCTCTTGCTCCCCTCCTTCCCTCTCCCCCAATCTTCCCTGCTACCGGTGGCCACGCTGCTACCAGAGGCTACCCTTTCCGGCCACCCGATCCAGGGTGTACACCACCGTCCTCCCCCCCTCTCTCTCTCTCTCTCACTCACCCTCCTTATGCTCTGCTGGTCCTGGTCCTGCTGGTCTGTCTGCCCCCCCCCCCC